TGATCTTTGACCGACTTCGCCGGGAGAGGAGATCATACCGACGAGACAATCATTATACAGTGCCATAGTACGTCTGTATGCGTGGACCAGCTAGAAGAGAACAACTTTCCAAACTGCTTGGAAAAACTCACTCGTTCGCTCGGTTTTGTGCGACATCGCCCGCCCATCAGTAGATGCCTCTGTTGAAAAAAAGCGCATAATCGCCACTTCACACAAACAAAGACTTCCACACATCAAGTAGACTGCCATAATAGTGCTAGCAAGCTGCTCTTCCAGCTTCCTGGTCCACCACGAGGCACTACGACTGTCTCAATGCGCCAATAAGAACACACGACGATTAGCAGAGGAGTATTGTGTAACTGGGGGCCTTCCAGAGAGTTTGTTCATGCTTTTTCTTATAAAAGCATGGCAGGTTACAGAGCGGACACCAGGACGACGGCACTAACATGTATGCCGGGTTTTGGGGTGTGTGTATCCCGGGACTCTTCCTAGAAGCGCCACCGAAAGAGCTCCAAAAAAGAGCGATAACTTGCCTACAGTGAACTCTGATACGTGCAACATTGTGGAATTGTGTGTTCTAGGTATTGATGGGGCTATTTGTTCATGAGGTACCTTTCGCCTGCGCCGTATACCATCAATCGAGTAAATGAATTGAACACTGTAGATAAGTCGAGCATCGCAGGTCCACACAGTGCCCGCTCTGAGCCGGACAACGGACAGTGATGAAGAAGAATGCTTCAGATGTCTTACACTCTTTGAACAACAGCCAAGCTAGCGGTATGTCTCTGGTTAGCTTTCCTTTTCTATCACTTTTCGTAGATGACTAGATACATCCGACACAATGAAGAATTAGGGCACCACACTAAGTTTTTAACATGAGCGCCCAATAAATGATGCTCAACCGGGTTATAAATTATGCCTCAAAGCTTCCAAAACATATCTGTCGTCTACGTAGCACTTTAGCTCGTGCGAAGACAAAGAGGGTCCTGCGTTCTTTGTATTCCTTTTACCATTTCAAGTGCCGGTGTCTCTTTAGCCCCTTTGAAAACAACTTTTCGCCGTTACCAGGAAACATGGCACTTCTAGTTTCTGATATGACTGGGGTGTTTGAATCAGAACAAAAGCCTGTTGGCGTTTGTCCTTCAAACTAGCTCGTTCCGATAACTCAGCTAGGTGCGGCATTGTGGAAGGGGGACCAAAGTGGCACATCCTGTACTTTGACTTTGGCATATAAGGACACCTTCGTTAAATAAATTCATGGTTTCTGTGTATGGAAAATTCTACAGAAGAGAGGCAAACCCCGAAAATGCAGTAGTACACATACGGAATAGTTCGTAAAAGCTGACTCGCTAGCGAAAGTAGGAATGAGGGCTGCTACAGACACACTCTCCTCAGCGAAACGCGCAAATCACCGTTCTCTCCGGTCTGACTACACCTTGCTCTCTACGAATACAACATTAAAATAGCAATCTTGCCTGCATCCTACAACTTTTGCATGCTATTAGAGCGCCCCGGATACCTCCACCTTCAGTGTATTTCTATTGAGAGGAGAGTCGCGCTGTGGGAAATTTAGTAAAGTGAAGCTATTCGTTTTCTAGGCTCATTTTCCTACTGCTTTTTGTGCCAAAACTGTTTTAGGTTCTATGGAAGTTGCCATTTGCTGCTCCTGAATTAGTAAATGCATACTGCTAGTCACAGTGGCTGCCCTTAAGCGGCTGGGGAGCCAAACCGACAAACAAGCTTATTCTTGCAGTTTATTCATTTTACGCTTTAAGGATTCGCTCATATCTTCTATGCTGTAGTGGAATAGTGGACCAGCAGTCCTTGTGACATCGCTACTCTTGACGTTTAAAGCTCCCACTGGCATGAACTGCAGTTACATTTTGTCGCACATACGTGAAGGCCTGCTTTCTGCTCCAAGGCCAAACCAGACACATAAATGTAAGCCTTGACCAGTAAACTGGGCAATGGCAGCACTCAATAAGATGCATTCTGGCTACCCGCCGCAACGTCGTCCTATGATGTAAGAGGTCCTTCTTCGCGACATTTCCGCTACACTGCACAGCTTACAATGCCATCGTCAGTAGCAAAAGTGTTTGACCTTTGGTCTTTCTTCGGAGAATTTCGGCTCCTAGAGCCTTGCCCCATAGCAACTATCACAAACGCAGATGATCCAAGGGGTTCGACGTTGTAAACAGTCATCTTCACGGCAACAAACCACCACGGGAACACTCAGGAGCCCAAACAAATGCATATTGATCATACGATATGACTGAAGCTCCTTTCTGCTGTCGCTCTGCATTCACCGCTATTTTTACTTGATATCAAATATGTACCACAGGTTTTCAACTTGTCTTGTAGACCGACGGCAATGAGTGACATCAGAATGAATCGTAGTCTTGGAGTCAACAGCATCTGTGGACAGCTTTCAGACGGCACGAACGCTCCGCTCGGAAGGCTTTGATGCTCTTTTGCTAGCTCCTTCAGAAGTTATTAAATCTGTCTGGGGCATTGATATGTGGAGGACGTTGTGCGGGTTCATTCACATACAGCAACTGCAACGCAATTGTCCAGTGCGCTAACCGGAATTTACCACTGGTGGCTGTGCGCCGATTAGCATTGGTGAATCTTTTGCATTGCTGCCTCTCTTTGATTAGCTCGCACACCTGCGCCTGACATGCCATGCACACTTTGAAGCTCCTTGGCATGTACCTTTTCCCTGTATAGAATATCCCAACTTGCTTTATCAAGTGCAAGCGGAAGAATGCTTTTCTCTCACAAAGCCAGTAGAGCTACCTGTGTAATATAACAGGCGAATGGGGGTGCTGCTTGGGAATGCTTTACTTGAGTTATTCCTGAGTGCCATGTTAATTACAAAAGGGCGAAACGTCGGAAACGCCAAGCCTGAGAATAGGCACCCATTGCAAGAATGGACATTGCGGTGTCAGCGGGTCTAGTTGCATGCTAAGTCAAAGGCAGTGCGTAAGTATTGTTCCCATGCCAGACAAAATTCCTTATCTGGAAGCTGTTTTTGTATAACCCGAAGGAAACTTGCATGCCGTTTCGGTAACCTTCCCCTATGGGTAAGACCTACTTTTTGGTGGAAGGGGCAGAACAGCTGACAGAGGACACTTAAGCAAACGACAACTGTATAGGGATATTCTCGAGCCCATACGTCAAGTGTTAGCTCTTCAGCAGAGGCCCTTGGTCGCGTATTCCAGGGCAACTTGAGTGTCGGCGCACGTCAAGCAGCGATCTGCCATTATGCGTATTGAGCATCCCAGAGCCCTCGCTGGCTTTATAAAGATCAATAGGCCGCCGTGAAATAGGAGATTGCCAAGCCCTTGCAGCTACTGCCGCAAAATGTCACTATCTAGGGGAGTCTCTCAGTTGGTTGCGAAAGAACCACACCGCTCAAATAGGCTTCTAATGGGGGTCCAAATATGTGTGCTGTGCTTGTCTAGCTGCGGACGCTCGTAGGGGATATCTTTTTAGATGAATTTTGCCGGCAGGTGACGGTTTTTAGCAAGCTTACCAGCGTTTTCTGGTAGCGATTTCAGGTCCACAAGAGGGCATATGCCAGTATTAACCTGGTCTTGAAATTGAGCAGGCATAGTACTGATATCGGCTATATCGGCCTAAACGGACGGCATCAACTCCTTGAACAGAAATGCGCCCATCTCGCAGGAAATGGCTAGATTAGATAACGGAAGTTTCAGTGTAGAGCCTAGGGGTGGAGGCTTCAAGGAATAGTCCGTGCCGACGTTAGTTTCCCAGAGTACCGAGACACGGATGAGACACAGTATAACTTAAGACTGATTGGCGAGCATGAATGATAGTCTATAAAAGAAACCGAGACCTTGGTGGACACGACACTGCCAGCTTGGCACACAAGTCTGCCCCAGCATAGTAATATCAGGGCAAGAAAAGGCTCGAATACTCCACGCACGGCCCTGGTAAATAGGGCATCACTGTTAACCCTAGAACCTGAGGCAGCAAAGACTCTCGGACACCATTTAAACATCCTTATACCCCTAACCAGTGTGGCCTAGTTGTTCCTCGCTCCTCTCCTTGCTGTTCTCAGTCAACAAGGTTTAGACATGAGGGGAGACAGCGGCGTGTTGCTAAAGTGCATAGGCCTTCGCTTTTTCCTCTCAACACCCCCATTAAGCATTCGCTCTCACCCAGCTGGAAATAGCAGCCTGCGGTCCAGAGGCATATTTCAGCCAGCTCGTACTGAGCCTACTAACTCTGCTTTGCAACACAGAATATGTGCGCAAGTAGCCACACCAAATGGTCAATTCTCGGCGAATTTTTGACTGACTAAACGAGGGTACTAGGAGAATGCCCAAGTTAGCTTTTGACCGGCGATAGACCCACTCTTGGTGAGCGCCCAACTTCAAGCGGTCCTTTAAAAGAAAGCCAAACAGGAAGTCAGCTTGCTGGGTGAGCCGCCGAAAAGAAGTCGTAGTTGAGCAATATTGTTGCTCAACTACGACTGCCGTGCTAGCGGCAAGATACTACGTTTATAGTTTGCTGTAATAGCACTCCAAATTGCGGTGCACGTATTAGGGCTCAGTATTGTGGTTTAGAAATTGCAACATGGGGTCAAAGATATAGAGTTGAGAGTCGAGGCTTTCAAGAAAGGGCCCAGCCGTTCGGGATTCACTGGACTGATAGATAGCAGCGGCCTTCGGGGGCCTCAAGTTACTGCACGTGTCTTTTCCCTGCTGTTGCATCTTTCTTTGTTACTGCTGATTCTTTTGATCATGGTTATTTCCGATAACTCATGTGGATCCTCGCGGTGAACGTAGGTTATTCCGTCAGTGTTTAGGTCATAGGCTTTCGGGTTTGGGGCTGTTTTCGGCTTTGCGTCCAAGAAGCAGCTTGTTGCCAGGACGACCCAGAAGGCTAGTGACGAGAAGGTGTGTTTAAGGATTTCTTCAACCTGAATAACTGCTATCCCAAACCACTGAGAGCCCCTATTGCAGTCATTTGCAATGGAGGAGGCGGCCGCTGCCGTCATCAGAGAACCAGTTTCACCTTGTGGGGGAGACCTGGCCAGCACAACCGTACAATCTGACTCTGGGCCTAGTATTGAGCTAGAAGGACCGTCTGAGCCCGTGAAAATTCCCCCGACCTTGTCCGTCAACGAGGACGCCCCTTCCTCGGAAGCCCAAGAGACCTTCCCAGATGGCTTGCTGCCACTTATGGTTGCTGTTGCTGCGGGAGTTATAAGCCCCTATGACGAAGAACAGGGGGCCCCCTCTTCTCCAGAAACAGCAGCAGCTGCCGCAGCTGCTGCAGAGGGCGCTCCGCGCTTGCTGGAATGCATATTTAGCCCACACCCGGCCCAAGCCCTTGCTGCAGCAGACCCGAAGGACTTGATGTACCTGCATCAGCATGAAGCTCACAATCTTTTGTTGCGTCACGCTGTCAGAGCCGAGCACGACGATAAGGAAACCTTCCAATTGTTACAATTGCTAGTCTTGCAGCCAATGCAACTTCAGCAGGACAGCCAGTCAGAAGAGCAACAACACAATCGCTCCCCAGCCACTGCGCCACGCGCTGCTGTCCAGCAGCAGCTCCTGGATCAGCTGCTGCTGCCTCATCAGCAGCGTGAGCAGCAGATTCCTGTAGAATGCCTTTGCGGCCTTCCTATTGAAGGTGGAGTGTTTTCGTGCAGCAGCAGTAACGACACCAGCAGCACTAGCTCTGCGACCAGCAGCGAAAGCAGAAGAACAAACGCAACTCCTGGTGCAACATGTCGCATGGCGACTGAAGCCATGGACATGCACGCCGCATCTCATGCTCTGTTCTCCTGCTGCTGCCAGGGGAAGCTGCGCTGCTTCCTGCTCCTGGAACGATGCTGCAGCATTGCAGCTGCAGACATGTTGCTGCTGCAACAAGGTCGAGGTTCCTTAATGCATGCAGCCGCAATGGGCGGCTCCAGGGCCATCATCCAGCGCCTTGCAGCTACTCACGGACTCTCCCCCAGAGGAGCACTAGGTACCTATGATCCCTGAGGATATAGATGCTAGTGCTTCAGTTTATTTCTGGCATTGGACTAATGCGCGTTAAACGTAGTCGGCAATCCTGTGCATTGTACCTGAAACCACACGGATACTTTTTTTGAAACGCACCTCATGAGAGAAGCGAATGCGTCATGAAGCTTTGAGTCTTGAAGCAAGCATTCTCTTCATGGCGATGTATACAGTAGTAGAATGTTTGAACTTTTTGAACTTATGGTGCCGACCCATGACTGTATTTTTGCTTTTCGCGAACTGTTCATGTACTACCTGAAACTCCGTAGGCTTTGCTGGCTTGAGCAATATTCATGCGTTCATTTCTTATGGCATTCATGGTTCTTGTTGGCACTGCATTGAACTAGTCGGTTTGTTTCATCATGCCCGGCAATGGGCGTGGCTGTGCATGCGTACTCCCTAAGGTGGTGTTCGTGACCTCCACTGGGTTGCTTTCTGGTTCAGTACCACCTAATACCGTGTTCGATGTTATAAGTTGATTTCAAGGCCATTATGGAGCACTGAATTCCTTTGTTTTGCCTGTCTTGTCCGCATACATGCAGACTGTGCAAACTACAACGAACCTATACACTTGGCGGCTTGCTGCGGTCGAACTTCCGCGGTGCTGCAGCTGTTAGAGTTGGGCGTCCCACTGGATGCCCCCGACAGATTCCGTAGGACTGCGGCATTTCACGCCGCGTCAAATGGCCACGCGATGCTCCTGAGAGCACTCGCTGCGATGGGAGCAGACCTCACTGTACGATTTTAGGATAGCCCGTCCCCTGTTCTACCAAAGCGCCTTGCTTAGGCTCACCTCCCTCATCTTTTTCCCTGTCCAGAGCTCTGGAATGGGTGAAAAGCTAGGCGTCGTGTTTTATTACTTCTAAATAGGCATTATGGGTGATGATGGGGCTTTGTTCCCACATATTCATAGAGGCACACCTGTGTATTATGTACAATAGTAACCGTGACCTTCAGTCCATTCTACCCGCGAAAGAAGGATTGTCCTTCCGTTGAGTGGTGTCTGCCAGGTACTAGATGCCGACGGAATCTCCTTGTTGCAGGAGGCAACAGCTCGGCGCCGGATCCGCGATGGAAGAGATCGAGAGGAAATCGTACAATTCCTGGTGCAGCAGAATGCGAGAAACCGACCCAAGAGGGACAGAGCGTGATGATGAACATGCATATTTCTATATGCACATCTACAGGGAGTTGTGAATATGAAAATCCTGCTCTGCCTCCGTTGTATACGCTAGCTTCGTGTTGGTCTATTAGGGTACTTATTTTGGGGCGTATATTTATGTAGTGTATATTTACTACCCTCTTCTAGTAGACAAATGCCGAAGACATCTGTATGTATCGAGATTATACACAAACGTCTAAGTGTGAAGATCTCGCACGTTGTGCGCCTCTGTGTATGTGATGTACGTGCGGCGTTTGTTGCTCCGTTTTCTTATTTGCGGCGCCCGTGTCTGCTAGCCTGTGTATAAAAGGGGTGGCTGTAGCTTTACCTATATGCAAATGAGAAGAGGGCCTACTAGAGTACCCGGAGTAAGGGGGCATTATGAGACAGAGAGGGGGATTCAATGAGGTGATTATTTGCGGCTCCAGTTCTTGAGGCCCAGAGGCATGTGTCTCAAACACTCCTTCATTTAGAGTATCGTTCATAAAAGCCAACAGTTTCGTACTACGCTTGTGCTCTGATACCACGCGGCTCCCTGCGGAGTGTGCAGTACAATGCGTGTTCTGTAAGCCGTATCTTTTTTGCGTTCATATGTGGGAATTACCCTAAAGACTGCGTGCTAAAACTGAATCATCATCGAAAAACAGCTAGAAGTCCTGGTTTTTCACTAGACCCTATAATCTATGCTCTCTGCATCTAAGAAAAAATCGAACAGTTGTCAAGAGAGTTGGCCGTAGCTTTTGCCACGGCATAAGTATCCCTCAGGTCCAGGCAGTGATTCATCCTTCACAACGCCTCTACCATTCCGTTGTGCCAGTGACCCACAACAGACAGCGAGAACCTTGCCATCTTCACATCCAGGTGTTTCTGCATCAAAAAAAAGCATGCACCACAGAGAGAGCCGTCTTCAGTGCCTTTCCCAACAGTGCCATCAAATCTGGGAACCCAACCCTAAATTCTCGACCCTGAACCCTCGTAAAGGTAGGTCTTCACCAGAATCTGCGCCTGTTCGACGCTGAGGGCAGAACCTTCGGTGCAGACCGTGTGCTTGCCGAGGAGATTAATCTTTCCGTTCTGCACACAGCACCGCCTTCACCACCGATCATAGCAACGATACAACAGCGATAACCGCACACAAAATAATTATCTTATACTAGTACGGCGGTTTCTTTGTAGGCTACAGTCATCCTAAACACGGTAGTGAGGCTCTGGAGATGCAGACTTATTGTGCCCCGATACCTGCAACTGGGTGGGGAGGCCCAAAGAGCGAAGTCGTGGCTCCATCGAATGAGGAAACCTCTCGAGGGCATCGAACCCTGGCTGCAACGTGCCAATGGACATGAAAAATCCCAAGTGGGGACAAGTAATGCATATCGCATGCCTTTTGGCGTTGAACCGCGAACACAATGCATCGTGCTCTTAGCAGGAACACGGATCAACGTGGTAAGGGCAGCATTAAAAGCTTCAAAAAAAATGTTTCCGGGTGTCTTCCATGACACAGCCTCTTAGGTCTGCTACAAACAGCCAAAACACACCTCGAGCATAATAGTCTTTGTGGCTAAAAAGCCGGCCTTGGCGTATTCGTCTGCTGTTACTTGGGCCAGCAGTTTCTTCACTTCCGGGAGATCGTGCTTCGTTATTAGAATGCCTCTTTCTCCCTTGAGCATTTTTGATAACTTATATACGTTGTCGAGACACTCGGTGGAGGGTTGCGACCCTAAAGCCACCTGCAGCACTTTGTTCTTTCCAAAAAACAGCCTGAGATGCAAGCAGCAGGCAGGAAGTCAAAGCAAACAGGGCATCCTTGCTTAATTTGAGTACTCACAGATCAGGCGTATACCTACTGCAAAGAGGAGAAAGGCTAAAACCTCGATAGGCACACTCCGAAACACAAGGCGCCCACACAGAGGCAATCACAAATACATACACATAGTGGTACACTTTCGCATTCGTCAGTAGCACTACCGCCGCACATTATAGGTCCACAAGAGGCATGCGCCATGCTTCTACCCTTTGAAATACTTGCAAAAAACTGCGTTGTCTCCTCCCTTCCCTGGAAGAAAACACGAACCCTCGACGATTGCGGCTTAGCCACCCACTCACACCCCCACCGCCTCCGCCCCCCGATACGAGCCAAGGAACAATAAATGTGGATAGCGTAGCAACAAATACGTAGCTCGCCTGCAAGGCGAGAGACAGGAAATTACATGTGGGAAGATCAGGCCAACGTACTTTCCAGGTTTTAGAGCATCCCGTGCAAGCTTAAAGAGGGAGTTTTTCTGGTTGTGAACTTCGATGACGTAGATGTGCATTCCTTCCTCCTCCGCCATCTGTCTGACACCATCAATGAGCAGATTCTTCGCCTGAGAGGCGCTGCTCCTATTTCCCGTCTTTTGCTTTTTTGTTTTGGTAAGCGAAACCACCTTCGCCCTCTTTGATGGCGCCATCTGTAGATGGGGCAGGCAGGCAGAACCAAGAAGGCAAATAAAGGATATGAAGTGGCGGCGAAGAATTTCAAGGTGAGGACGAGATCACACGGACGGAGCACCCTGAGACACATAACGAAAAGAACCCATGTCAAAATCTCCTCTCGATCCTGGGGTGTTTCCCCACACGCCCTTGGTGGACTTGCGTGAAACTATAGTGCCTTCCTCTCTTCCTTGCCCTCTAGATACTCGTAGCAATGCTTGTAAGTGTAACACGGTCGAGGACGCGTACTTTGGGGCCGAAGACTACAGCAGTGTTGCGACCACGATCACGCAATAGAAGTCACTGTTCTTCCAAGCTCTCGCTGCCAATACATTTCTTCTCCGAGTAAAACGCCACTTACCAAGCTCAACGAAGCAAAAATGACAAATCAGGCAAGCTCCAGAGGCATCTGAGAGCGCAAATTGTTCCGACACGCGAAACTTCGAGGCATTGGGCACATGCGCGCCGGCCACGCATGCGAGCGCTATTCGCGGTTTTCAGGATATATATACCACTTGGTCCTGAGTACAGAAAATATGAGGTAAAGCAAGTGCCCCGTTTTCTATCATAAAATTAGTCTTGTTGGCTGTCCCAAAGCCCCGCAAGCCCCCCTGAGCGCTATTGCATGCAAAAGGCATCCGCCTTCTTGAAAGTATTCCTGTTTTATCTGCAGAATCCCTTGAAGTCGCGTATAAGCTGTTGTCTAAATGAACCTTAGGTTCAGCATCTTAGTGTTCTTCCTCACTGAGGTAGTTTTCCACTCGAGAATTAGCTGTTTAACCCACGAAGCTGAAGCGTTATGAAGCGTCATCCGTGCCCTTTTCCTGTAGCCTTCCACAGAAATTGTTGGATACTGAAGGGCTCACTACAGGAGTGCTGGTCCTCTGTCGCAGAACAGTTCTTTGTGCCTGGATGTGCAAGTATTATGAAGCATGCGCAGGTGTTATTAAACGCAACGAGCACAGTTCCTGCACATGTATAGATCGCTAGTGCTCTGCATGACATCCGCGAGTATGTGCTGCCATCATGAGCAGGAATTCTGGCAACGCTTTTCCAGTTTCAAGAAACACCTAGTGAAGGATGTGATTCATGTTGCATAATACTTTTGGTCTCCCATTCTCGTTTGCCGAAACTGCGCCTTGATACTAGTCTTGATTATTGTGTAGCCACTGGTGGCTCACCCTTGTACGGCTATTTATGTGATATGAAGTAACGCACTACTCCAAAACTGTGCTTGCACCTCCTTGGTCACCGCATTTTCGTAGCTAACACGCAAGAAGTCACAGCGGAACGTAATGCATGTTTCCTCCAAAAGGCCCACAACAACACGCGATACTCGCAACTGCAAGTATACGTAAAAAACTAGGAGAGGAACTATCGGCCACGTTAATGCAGAGAAGAGACACAAGAGCTAATAAATCTGACCCCTCCCCAGCCCAACTGGCCGCTTTCTACGGAAAGGGATGCATTCCGTCACTTTTGGATGGAGGGGCACTAACGTTGCCCTTTCCGAAAACAAGAGCTGTTTTGTACCTGCAAGACACCCAGAGGCCCCCCCTGATGGCTCCTCGGTATTCATCACGGACGCTGGGATTGGCGTTTCAACAGCAGCAGGGGAAACAGAAGGGACACCGGCTGCGCCCTTTTTGCTGCCTCGTAGTCAGTCCGTAGCAACGCTGAGGCGCCGTCTCAAGTCCATTGCTGGCCTTTCCTCCGCCATCCAGCGACAGTATTCAATTGTCGTTCCCGCATCGACCCTTGCAACGCCAGCAAAAACAGTCAAAAACACTGCCAGCTCCACCACCAGATCTAACGGCCTGAGGCGGCTTCCACAGCCTAGCAAACCGCAAATGCTTACTGTGTATTCAACACCGTCATTATTCGCCTCCGAGCTCGACTACCGCGACCGCTCCTCCGTGCCCTTTCTCCCCAGCAGCTGCTTGCCAACGCTTACCGCAAAACGCATAGAATTAGAGGCTAGGGCACCCGCTATAAAAAAGACTTCTCAGATCCAGGGAGTTAGGAAGCCCTACGCGAGGACCGATAAGGCACAAACGCCTGACAGAAGAACAGAAGTATGCGAGGAGAAGCAGAGGCCCCTTAGCCCGCAGTGCTCCCAGGATTGCGCTGAATTCGAGGCGGTTGAGGATGCAGATGAGAAACCCGCCTCACAGGCCTCAGAAACCAAAGCAATGCCTCAAAGCGTCGCTAGGCATGATGGCATGGAGACTTCGGCAACACAACAGCTGTAAAATAAAGGCATCATGGCCTGATATAACTTTGGCTTGTGTTTTGCTGCGTTTATGGTGGTTCCATCAAAAATTTTGTGGGGGAGTCAAGAAAACCCTATGACTTTGCTAATGGAATTCGATGCTTGTGTAGTGTACCCCGTCCGCCTCATGCTTCGATTCCTAGCCCCTCGGCGCACATGGTTGTTGAACGCGCGAAACCAACAGCCCTTTGGAATATTGCCCTCTGTTTCGTGCTTTGTGCTTATCGAATTTCTCACGGCTGCTCAAAGAAAGGGCCTTATGGACTGCATGTGTAGGGAACGGAAAGCATGCAGAAAGAAGGGCTGTGCATTCACTGTAATCCACTGATATGAGTGGTTCTGTGGCTGTACATGCACAGCACCGAGGTTGCAGGTGCTTTCTCGATTACATAATTCTATGCAAATGTCTCTCTGGATCGCGTTGTAAAGAATGCGCACATGTATTGACACCCAGAAACGCGCATGCATGCAGGATACACAATTCGACAAATGCCTGCAAGTTTTGCAGGGGAACGCCTTTATGTGCTTCAGTTGAGCAACGGAGAGGAAAGAGTGCCACCGGCTCTCACAGAAACCGAATATTGCACCCACATGCATTTTTTCGCTTCAGAGAAACGACCCAACTTGATAAATGTAAGAAAGAAGAAGCAGGGGGAGGCAACCATCAGGACGAGGCGTTCTCCAGTGAAGGAGAATATACGCAAGTACGCCTTTACAACGAAGGACTCGCTGTCATGCCTGGTTTGTCATTCTCGTATCCGTCCCGCATGTCCATACGAAGCAGACATATCACCGTACAGCTTCATGTTGATTTTGGCATTTACCGCCCTCCGTTTTATTGGTCATACCGTTATTATATCACCCTATGCGCATCCACACGTTAATGCGGCCGTGCTTCCGTGTGCACTCTCACCTGTTGCTTGGCTCTGCTGGAGTAGTGATGCCTCTCTAGCTCTTGTGCCTTTCTTGCACACATGACTCCCCCCGACCTTTGGGGCACTTGCCTCTGGGTGTTCGGTACCAGGTCTACATATTAGGGCTGAATCGTTAATAGACGGATTATCAGAGGCCTCTAAGTGGTCGTAGGGTATCTTCTGTGCAGCTAAGAGCACCCCAAGGCTCGCTCTCTCTTGCCCATTTCTGAAAGCACCAGAGCTCACGAGTAACCGTGCATTGTGTTTTCATAGAATTACTTGGCCTTCGTCGAGGCCGTTGACACCTGGGATGCTGAGCAAACTCTCGCATGCATAGTAAGCCTGGCAAACGCACTGCTTGCAGAGGCGGCGGGATCGGAACTATTGGTCTAGGCTCTAAAAGTTTAGCTATGAGGCTCTATACTTTGTTCAGAGGAGTCTTCGACCACAGGGCCGCGTAGTCTTCAATGACGCCAAGCAGCGGTCAGCCGAGATCTAAATGACACACCCTATAATGAAGACCAAACGACAACATCCCATGAAGGCCTATGGTAGCCTCACAAATTGTTGTATTATTTTAATTCTCGGGCACCGATCGTACAACGTGCGCGCTAAGGGCTTAGGCTCGTGAGTGATAATCTGCGCAGTTTGTTCCGGGAATTGCGGCGGAAGGTGTACAAACAGCTGCAGCCCCTCAAGGCGGAGTTGGACAGGAGAGGCGTATTTGATGAAGTGCGTGCAATGCTGTAAAGAAGCTTCCCCCCTTCATAGGGTCCTCCAAAAACACCACTTCCTGCCTGCCCCAGACTAGACCAATACTTTGAAAATGCCGAAAGGCAAGATCGGCAGCTGCAGTAATGCTGCGAAGCGTGCCGCGGCTGTGAGTCCAAAACCATGCAGGATCATCCGTAGCTGACCACTTGACTGGCACTGGCACTACCCCTGGCCTTGTTTTTCTTCGACCTGGGTGTCTGTACTTCAGAAGACCAATGAATTGCGTGTCCTGGCAAAACTGCGGTGCCGCGCCTTTGACGCCGCACAGACTGCCCGCCGCATATTCGATAAACTGGCACTGAAGGGCAGGTTCTGTTCCCCCTCTCCTTAAAAGTTCCCTCTAGGTCCCGATGCCTCTGGTTTCTAGTTGTTCACTTGCCTCTTCACTCTGAGACCACTGCAAGTTGCAAGAGCAAGAGGAAGAGGAGGCCTGCAACGAGTAATATGTGTGGCGGGTTTGCGCAGAGGCACTGCTAAGTTCCCCTTTGGCGTCCTACTATAACCGCGATGCTGAGAAAACCATGGCAGAAGAGTACCCCCTTTTTTAAAGCCTCAACACGCGCGATGCGCTTTTACACATTCCATGCAGACACAGCAATCTTGCGTCACAACGCAAAGCTTTGCCCCGAGTGCGAGGCCAGAGCCACGAATTCCTGTTATGCGTGCTGCTGCTTGGAGCAGGCTGTGCAGTCTGCTGAACAATCCGGTGACAGGCGACCCACATACGCACTCCCGCTTAGTAAATTACCCCGTGATGCGCTGGATGCCAGCCGTGCCAGTCCTTGAGTCTGGGCCAAATGATGATGCGGCGTTGCAGCGGATCTGCAGACTGAGGCAACTGCAAAAAGGGCTTCGAAGGCAACCAGAGGGGGGAGAGCTGTGCTGAGCCGCTCACAAGAACAGTAAAGCGCCCGTGGGGGCGTTTCTTACTTCATAAACCGATGCACTGCCAGATTCAGTCTTGTCTAAAGCGACCAGAACACCTGTGCCCCCTACCATGGCTGCCTGTCAAGAAAAGGCTCCCTCGTAGGCATCACGTAATTCGGCATCCTCCGTGCCGCACGCCCTACGGGGATCATGGTGCAACTTTCCTTGCAATACACCCATTTATGACTTCTTGTCGACATTTTTTTCCTCAACCGCGTGATGCTACACTTCGGCTGAGGCTCGCCAGTTCCCACACCTGCTGCTGCATACACTCTAGTGCCAGACTCGCCTTTGACCCTAAGCGTGACACTGCAGTAACTCTGCGCTGTCCGGCGGCCGCATGCGCCTGCTGTAGTATCGCACCCAAATATCTCCCTGGCCTCATATGTGAGTAGGGCCCCTTCCTAGGACCGACAGACACTCCCTTTTCTCCCTCTCTGTGATTCTTGCCCCAGTGCGGATGCATGCATGCATTTCAAACTAGCCAAAAGAGCCCCTAGCAACACAAATGTATCACCATGTTTGTATGTACATATATACATATACATATATATATATGTACTCCAGCGCTAAAAATGCGCAGCATCTGTTGTGTGCAAGCAAAGGTACCCTATGAATAGGTAGGGATTCACTGTATCGTCTAATTTTCCCCTGCGTATGTGTTAAAGGCGCTCACATTGCCTGTATACGTCTGCCCCTCTGTCTAAAGTTTCGTTCTATCTGCCTCTGCGCAGTGCACGTCTTAGCATTCGACATAAAACATAACAGCACGGCGAGTCGATGCGCTGCATGCTAAAGGCCAGTTGGCTTAGTGGCACGTGCGCGCAAATCGACGAGGCTTTTCACAGGTGGGACATAAATCCGTTTCAAGGAGAAGAGATACATCGCCTTTATACAAAAAGAGCAAAGCTTCTGTCACGCAGGAAGGCACCAGCAAGCTTCGCCTTGATGCGGTGCCTTGCTGTTGCCTTTAAGCGGTGCGGTGGAGGGTGCTGCTTGAGGCACGTCTCTCTCTCTCTGCCCGTAGGGTCAAGCGCTCATAGACGAGTTGCGCGTCGCTCCCTGCTCACTAGGAAGGCGGCGGGGAGGGTAGTTTTATCCCGCTAAAGGCGGTACGGCAGAGGGAAGGAGATAACTAATTGCACAGTACACCTCTTGAGGAGAAAAGGACTGTCCTGTGGTTTGAAGGGGCCCTGTGCGTCCCTTTACAGTCGTTCTTTAGGCTCCGCTAGGAGGCACAGAGAGGGGACACTAGACAAGGCAGCCAGGCTCTGGTTTGCCGTTTTCAATGCTCTTTATTATATATGCGTCGGATCGCGGTTAAACGGATGTGATGAACTGATAAAGGAAGGATAAGACGGCCCCTAGGATGTGAGGCAAATGGGGCAGCAGAAACAGAGCGCAATCCACTGGAAGAGGCGCCGAGAGAGAGAAATACAGAGAGAGAGAGGCAGAGCGAGAGAGAGGCAGAGAGAGAAACAACAACACAAGACAGTAGCTGCTTCATGAGCTGCTAAATGGTTCAAAACCGTTCTGAGGCTTCGTCCTTTGCCCCTACAGGGCAGGCGAGATGCAGAACGAGGAGCTCCCCCCAGGGAGTTAAAGGGAAGCGCCTAGGACTGTGTCAAGTTTGTGCAGCGGCACGAGTTTGGGTAGCACCATTTCTGCCAAGCAAATGTATGGCAGCTTTCGCTGCAGGCGGACTCTGAAGGGGAGCGGCATCTCTCGCCTCCTCCTCCTCCATCGTTGGCGTCTCTCCTCGTGCTGAGGCTTAGACTGATGCTCGATGCTTCTGCTCGAGACTCTAAAGCGATTCCTCCGACTCTGCCTTCTTTTCTGAGCAGGTGGTGGGCTTGCTGCTGTCAGCGCAGTCTCTAAAAACATAACTCGCCCGCTGTCGACGTCATAGAGGCCCTCGGAAGTCTCTGCAGCGTAATAATCCTCCGCAGAGCTGCATCTGCTTCGGACGCCGCTTGGCGAGGAGCTCCTGCTGCTTTCAGTGCTTGTGCTGCTCCTGCTTTTAGCGGAGGCGTGAGCGTCGCATGCGCCTTTTTTGCCCGAACGAGCGTACCGCTGCTGCGGGTGCTGCAGCGTGGAATCATCGGATGCGGATGCAGCAGCAGCAGCAGCAGCAGATTCGGGGTGCGCATATGCGCAGTCAAAACTGGCAAAGAGAGCAACTGTGGGGTCGTTCGCATCCCCAGGCAACGCGTGAGTGAGTACACCGCAGCATTTGCAGCGAAACAAACGCCAAGACGTGCCCCTGCTGCTGCTGCTGCTGCATTTTTCGCTGGAAAAAGCGCTGTCGCTTTCCGGCAAAGATGTTTTCGGAGACACAACACCAACGGCAGGCTCTGAATTCTGCAGCGGTCCTGCGGATAGCATCACGAGGGGCAACGCCCCTCGTGGAATGCCAGCTCCGCTGCCACAGAGCATCTCTAACAGCTGCTGCTGCTCCTCACCGTAGACACCATCAGCTGATGATGATGCTGCTGCTGCTGCTGCTGCTGCTGATGCCGATGTTGCTGCTGCTGATGCTGCTGCGGACGCCTGCTCACTAGAAACGACAAGCCACGAGGTCTTCTGGATTTTGATCCCACACGTGTGCCGCAGAAACTTACGGTACGAGGCGCACTGCCCCTGTAGAGGGCAATGGGGAAGGCAGCCGAATGGCTTGCAGCCTTGCTTCCGGCTAGCCACTCCTCTAGAACAGCCGCCACTCCTACAATCGACAAACATTGCCTTCATTGAGCTCTCGTGTGCTGTGGCGAACGCGTCCGTCGGAACGCCTGCCCCCGCAGCTCCTCCTCCTGCTGCCGCGTCTGCTGCAAGCGTGGCGCTTCTGCCGTCCCCCCCTCCAGGAGGTGAGGCACTTGATTCTGCCGCAGGCTGCAGGGGTTGCTGCGAATACAGTGACGCCTCTACATGGCGCGTAGAGGGCCCCCGTCTCTGCCTCGGAGAAAAGAAACCGTGCCTGGGGAGCTCCCCGTCGCTCTTATCCCCGCGAAAACTGCAACAGCCGCTTCCGAGGCTGTCTCTCCCTCTACCCCTGCACGCCAGCTCCCGCCCTCCTGCTTGGGGAAGACTTGCAGGGGAACGTCTGCTGCGCGTGCCTCTGCACGCATCATGAAAGGTGGCACCTTTTAGTGCCTCCCCAACGAGCCACGCAGGAACTAGCCAGGTGCATGCACCGCAGAGACAGGCAATGCTGGTGGGGGGAATGGGAAAGGGAGGGGGTAAAGGCTTCCTCGCATCGTGCTCCTCCTGCTGCTGGAGGAAAATCGGATGCTGCAGCAGCCTCTGAGGCTGCCCTTGCTGCCGCTCAAGCGGCGACTCTGCGAACGCCGGCGCGTCCATACACCACAAACGACGCCAGCTCGTCGTCGCTCGCCAGCTAGCCAACATCCGCAGCAGGCCTAGCAGCTCCGCAGAGCATGCACACACCAGACAGCCGCTGCTGAGGAGGGAAAAAGCCCTCAAGGGATCAACATGCAAACCGTCCACCACGACGGCTAAGGCAGCCGCTGCAGCTACACCTCCCACGGCATGCGCTTTCACATCGAACGACAAAGTCTCAGTATGCGACTGCCCTTCTTCGTACCCGCCATACGCAGACGGCCACTGCTGCAGCTGTTGCTTTTGTTGCTGTTGCTGCTTTTGTTGTTGCTTTTGTTGTTGCTTTTGTTGTTGCTTTTGTTGTTGCTTTTGTTGTTGCTTTTGTTGTTGCTTTTGTTGTTGCTTTTGTTGTTGCTTTTGTTGTTGTTGCTTTTGTTGCTGTTGCTGAGGAGAGGCGATGAATAGGACCCTGCCCCCTGCTGCAACAGCAAACCTCAAAAAATCCCAGAGATGCGGCAGAAATGCCATGAACACACGACTCTCACTGGGAAGACTGCCCTCCAAGTCCATACTAGGGTTGCTGTTGCTGTTGCTGCTGCTGCTCGTGGTATTGCTGCTGTTGCTGTTGCTGTTGCTGTTGCTGTTGCTGTTGCTGTTGCTGTTGCTGTTGCTGTTGCTGCTGCTGCTCGTGGTATTGCTGCTGTTGCTGTTGCTGTTGCTGTTGCTGTTGCTGCTCGTGGCATTGGTGCAAAGAGACGTCGATTGCCAGTCAGCGTAAACCAAGACTTGCGGAAACGACTCTCCCCAGGTGTATGCGCAGGGGCTTCGATCAAGGTGGGGTCGGTGGTGTTGTTGCGGGGGAGGATCTCTGAAATCCACTACATGCGTGAAGCGGCAGCACAGCGAACTACTACGCGGCAATAAAGCCTCCGCAAGGCGTCCTACTTCGCCGAGGTTCCCAAAAGGACAGGGAAGGGGCAGCAACCACTCCACACCATCATAAACGTCTAGCCAGCTTGCTGCTGCTGTTGCGACTGCTGCTGCTGTTGCGACATCCGCTTTGCCTGGTGCGCAGCACACGAAAAGATCGCGGAGCACTTGTACAGGGGGGGTTACATCCAGTTGTTGTTGTGGCTGCTGCTGCATTTGCTGCTGCTGGATTTGCTGTTGCTGCATATGCTGCAGCTCCTCGTGCTGTTGCTGCTCCTCTTGTTGTTGCAGCTCCTCTTGTTGTTGCTGCTCCTCTTGTCGTCGCTGCTCCTCTTGCTGTTGCTGCTCCTCTTGTTGTTGCTGCTCCTCTTGCTGTTGCTGCTCCTCTTGCTGTTGCACCTCCTCTTGCTGTTGCTGCTCCTCTTGTTGTTGCAACTCCTCTTGTTGTTGCTGCTCCTCTTGCTCTTGCTGCTCCTCTTGCTGTTGCTGCTCCTCTTGCTGCATTTGCTCTTGCTGCTCCTCTTGCTGTTGCTGCTCCTCTTGCTGCATTTGCTGTTGCTGCTCCTCTTGCTGTTGCTTCTGCTCTTGCTGCTCCTGTTGCTGTTGCTTCTGCTCTTGCTGCTGCATATGCTGCTGCTCCTCTTGCTGCGTTTGCTGCTTCTGCTCCTCCTCTTGCTGCAATCGCTGCAGCAAGTCTATCCGTGCGGGGGGAAGCGGCGCAGTGAGGGGCTGCTGAAGCTGCGACCTGTGAGAGAGGAGAGGGAGAAAGGAGTTGTATGGCGAAGAAGGCGATATACATGGCGTGATCGACTCTGGAGAAGCGGCGGTTAAGGCAGAAGGCGAGGGATGTGCCTGCTGCGGATGCGGCTGCTGCTGGCGTTCTTGGTGCTGCTGTTGTTGGTCCTGCACTGCAGCCGTGTCTGTGTAAATTGTTGCGCATGCAGCTCCGCGAAAGGCGGGGGGCTCCTCGGCGAAATCCTTGAGGATATCCCTGTAAACGTCGTTGAAGAGAGCAAGGAGAGTCGCAGCCTTCGGCCGCTTTCCTGGATGCAGCGTGAGCATTTGCTTGAGAAGAAAAATTAGCCGAGGATCGTCTAGAAGGGCTTGCTCCCTCTGCCGATCTAGAAGAGGCTTTCTCCCACTAAGGCGAGAGAAGAACTGCGGATCGGACGCGAAGAGCAAACATCCTGTCAGCAGCTCGAAGAAGAGGCAGCCTAAACACCATACATCGCAGGCCTCATTTAAGCCGCAAGAGACACCGCCAGCTCGTCCTTCTTCTCCTGAAGGCGTCTGCGCTTTGCACCTGCCACCTACTGCAACCGCCTCTCCCCCCGCTGACTCCACAGACACCGCATGTCTGCAGCGAGAGGGAGCGGTGCGCTTCCGCACGCTCCGCGCCTCGCGATCGCCAACAACACTCTCAACTTCTCCTTGACGCACCAGCACGCGGCGCTTGAGATGTCGCCTCGGCTTCTTTCGCTGCGAAGCGGAGGGAGGCAGCCGCTGCAGCGACGGCGGCAACAACTGCAGCATCTCTGGGCTTTTGTTTATTTCTGTGCCTCGAGGCCGTCTAGACAGCTCTTCCTGCCCTAGCAACAGCCTCGCTTCTCCAAAGTCTGCGAGAGCCACAAGCGGCATCAAAACGAGGGGATGCGTCTCCCCCTTCCCAGTATTCTGCCGATGCATCAGGTGCTGGTGGGGAAGCGGAAGAAGCTGCAACACGTCCACAAGGATGTTCCCGCACTTGAGATCAAAATGCACAACACCCCGACTGTGCAGTGCAGCTACAGCCGCCAGTATTTGACCAAATATCCCTAACAACACTGGAAGCAGCTCCCGCCTCAAATCTCCTAGCTTTTGCTCTTGTTCTAGTTGCTGCTGATGGCGCTCTTGTTCTTGTTGTTGCTCTTGTTGCTGAGGAAAAGATGCCCTTGCCGGGGAGGTCTGTGTAGCCTCGTAGTTTGCGTGGGAGCCTGCGACGGCGGCTACCCAGTTGCGCCTCCACAGAGAAAGTGTTGCCGAATATCGGCGCATGCAAATGAGATAGGTGAGGCAGCAGTCTGCTACCTCGACTCCAAAGTCAAATACTTCACAAACCACAGGCAGCGAAAGTCGAAATCCGTCAAGCGCTGAAACCTCGTTAAAGAGGCCCCCCAACACAGCGCCTGCCTGCAGCAGTAAGCAGAAAAGGCAACAGAGAACGCTTGAGAGCCTTCGTATTCCCCATTTTCCCCATAGCAGCCATTTCCACTTCGCACTGCTGAAACAGACAGAAAGCCGCCACCCTTCTTCCCCCTTCCCCCTTCCCCCCAGCTAGCCGTTTGCAGCCGCTTGCCATCCCCTCTAACAAGGCCTAAGCCTATCTTCGACGCAAGAAGTAGACATGCCTTTCGCTAGGCGCCTACTACGAACAGAAGCCATCTCCCTTGCCCTTTCCCCTCACCACCTCCTCTCCTTTCCACTCTGCTCTCGCTACAGTGTACAAGAACTCGCGGGGAGAGATAGAGAGAAATGGCAAAAAGAAAGCAGAAAACGCCTCACGATCCTTTTGTGCGCCATCTACCCACTTAACAGAGAGCAGTGATGACGTCGCTCTGTCGTCAAATCCACACAACAACTCCCCAGAAATCGGAAAGCCTCCTTCCCGTGCCCTACTTTCCGCCTACCGTAAAAATCTCTACATAGAAAGCATGCATCCCCCACGGCAACAACATAAGCATCTGCCTATCTCGTGCTTTCTTTACCCAAAAGGGCTGCCTGAAGCTCACCTTTTCGTCGAGTGGAGCCGGCAGTTCCTTCAAGGCTACCGCTCCACATTCAAAAACAGACGCTACCCCCCACACGCATCCATACGTTCCTGAGAAAGCAAGACACCACGAAAAAAACGCTGCAGATCTGCGCATGCCAAGACTTGCAAAGTCATCAAGGCCAGAGAGACAGAGAGAGAACAATTAGTACATGTCGTTACGCACCAATAGACGGGTGCATGCCCATACAGGCAACAAACTGCACACATGGCCGTGTGCGTGTCTACGCTTCTAAGCCCCCGTAGTTCCTTTGCTGCAGCTGCCTCCAAGAGACAGCCAAGCAAATTCAAATGCGCACGACACTCTTCATCTAAACCCCACAGATCACGGCTCTAGACGCCACAAGAGCTCCCGCCCTATGCCCAATTCCCAACACACCTCTCCCTATCAAGGTTGTCTTTCGAAAGGCATCCTGCGGAAACAACGGTGCCGCGAGAAGCTTCAGCATGCGGCAGCCAGGGGCCTTCAGAAATCGCTGCGTTAGTTGAACGACCTGCCACATTATCGCCTTATTGCTGCAGTTGCAGCTGCTGCCACTGCAACTGCAACAGCTGCTGCCACTGCAACTGCAACAACTGCTGCTGCCACTGCAACTGCAACAACTGCTGCCACTGCAGCTGCAACTGCAGCCCAGTGTGCTGAGGAATTGTTGCAAACGAGGGACAAGCGTATCGTGGAGTGCCCTGTTACTGCTGCTGCGGTAACTGCTACTACTGTTACAAATGCTGCTGCTACTGCTGTAACTGCTGCTGTAACTGCTGCTGTAACTGCTGCTGCAAGAGGCTGTATGGACAGGCTGCGCAGAGGCTGCTGGTGCTTTGTCTGAGTTCCTTGACAGAGCAGCGCGGAGGATCCCCTCGATGTCAGCCCCTCTTTCATCATCTCGTTGCAGGTGTCCTCTAAGGCCGTCATTCGCAGCAGCAAGAGCATCATCATCATCATCATCATCATCATCATCATCATCAACATCATCATCATCATCATCATCATCATCATCATCATCATCATCATCATCATCATCATCATCATCATCATCATCAACATCATCAACATCATCAAGGGGCTCATGACTTGCAGGGGCTGTAATGACAGCGTCTTCTGAGGCTTCCTGCTCCTCAGAGATCTCGTGACGGCCGTCATGAACAAGGAGAGACACAGTAAGGGCAATCAACAGCGCATGCATCTGCGCATCTAACCGTTCCTGCTGCTGAGGTGGCTGTGGCTGCTGCCGATCCAAGCGCGCTGTTATTGCGGGAAAAACGCTTGAAATCTTTGCCTCCGCAGCAGCAGCAGCAACTTGTTGAAGTCCCCTCCAAGGTACCACCCACGGCAGTTCAGCAGTAAGCGGCTTCTGTGGGAAATCTGCATCTCTTGCCAGACTCTCAAATAAATGCCAAGTTGCAAGCAGAGGCACCTCAAAGCAGTCTTCCAGGCCCCTGCTGCTGCCCTCCACCTGATAGCTTTTAGAAGATCCTCCTGCTGAAGCTCTTTCTGCTTGAGCTCCTCCTCCTGCAGCTTTTCGTGCTTCTGCTAATCTTCTTTCTGCTGCTCCTGCTAATGGATCTTCTGAGACGGCGCTCTTCTCTGAGGAGTCGCACCGGGTAATCGTGATTCGTTCCTGTTGGCATTCCTCCTGCTCCTGCTGCTTACGCTGCTGCTGATTCTGCTTATGCTGCATGCGCTTGACAAATGCAGCGTCCGTCAGCTTAAAGCCGCTGTTGCGGCTTCCCGCTTCGGTGCGTGTGCTGTCGGTAGCAGTATGGCGAGCTGCTGCTGCCGTAGCTGTCGCATTGCCCTCGACTGCATTCTGCATGCAACCAGCCAATCCGCAGAGAGTGGAGAGGTCAAGGCGTGGCACTACTGCAGCAGGACGTCTAATGAGAATTTCTGGAGCCACAGAACTCCCCTGTCTGCAGGCTGCCCCTTCTTGCGTTCCTACTGCTCCCGCCAAAGGCTGCTGCTGCTGCTCTTCTTCCCCCTTTTCTTCGATCTCCGCATCAAACCGCCTCGCTTGCTGCAAAGTTGATCGCGACAACTGCCTCTTGGGGAACAAATCAAAGGGATGCCCCTTCGAGAGGCGCTCTCGAGATACACAGAATTGCTGCTCCAACTCTTGCACTTGCACTTGTTCTTGTGCTTGTGCTTGCACTTGGTCTAACTCTTGCTCTTGCACTTGCTCTTGTTCTCCCTCTTGCTTTAACTCCTGCACTTGCACGTGCTCTAACTCTTGCTCTTGCTCTAACTCTTGCGCTTGTTCTTGCACTTGCTCTGACTCTTGCTCTTGCTCTGACTCTTGCTTTAACTCTAACTCTCCCTCTCGCACTTGCACTTGCTCTCCCTCCTCCATAGACTGCTGTTTTTCCCTCTGTACGGCGATACTTTGAGGGTGCATGCCTGCATCCGACGCCGGTAGGTGCGATGCAGGTGCAGAAGAAGGAACATGCCAAGGAGCTACAGGAGGTAACTCTGAACGTCTCTCGCTGCAGCGGGAGGGTAAACTGGCGTGCGCCGCACGCGCTTGGGGAAGATCCCTGATGACTGCCCCCCTACGCCTCTCGGCGAGAAGGAGGTGCTGCTGCTGCTGCTGCTGCTGCAGATGCTGCAGGATGACGGCGCGTTGCTGTCGCGGAGTGACGAGGGCTGTCAAGAGCAGCAGTTTCTGCGAAAGCTGCGGCCTCCCCACAAAATCCTTAGGCTGCTGTCGTCTGAACAGCAGCCCTTTCCTCACGGTGACACCTCGAGCAGCAGCAGGAGTGACAGCAACAACAGGTGCAGCGGGGAGCCTCGGCAGTGCTGCCTCATGGACTGAAGCAGCAAGTGGCAGTGCAAACGCCGGAGAAACAAGCGGCCTAGAAGCAGCAGAAGCAGAAGAAGGAGCAGAAGCAGCAGAAGAAGCAGAAGAAGAAGCAGCAGGAGCAGAAGAAGCAGCAGAAGCAGAAGAAGAGGCAGCAGAAGGAGCAGAAGAAGCAGAAGAAGAAGCAGCAGAAGGAGCAGAAGCAGTGCCTCTCGGCGAGCAAAGAGCTGCAAACTTGTGCCAGGAACCCCCTCCCCTCTTCCCCGTGTTTGCGGGGGAGTTCATGTCTAATGCTGGAGAACTGCCTTCTGCCGAGTTTGCCGCTGCGGATGCAGTTTGGGGTGTCTCTGCAACGGGGGGTCTCTTGAAGTCTGCAGAAGCCTCGCGATAAAAGGGAAGCCGCTGGGAAGCGGAGAAAAGAGAAGGCGTATCAACGTCTTCGGAGCACTCAGATTTCGGATGGGCTGTTCGTACACCAGAGATGCCGCTCGCCAGCGTCCCCAATGCAAGGGGGGGTGATGGCGACTGAGTGAGGAAGTCTGAGGGGAAAAAAATCCCTCCCGAGACTTCCAAAGATGCATTTTTACCAGCCTCTTGTCTTGCTGCGGCTGCTTCCCCTGCTTTTATTGCTGCTTTTGCTGTTGTTGCTGTAGCTGCTGTTGTTACCTGCCGTGTGCTGCAACAAGATGCTGCTACGGTTGCTTTTTCATCTTTAGAGGACTTCTCTTCTTCGCGCAAGAAACGATTGGGGGGCTGCTGCTGCTGCTGCTGCTGCTGCTGCTGCTGTTCTCTGTACGTTTGCTGGATCTGTTGCAGGCTGAGTGGCAATGGCTCGTTCTCAAGAGGGGAACTGGGGGGCCCTTGCAGCTCCTGAAACGCAAAAAGAGGGTCGCACCACCACAAATAACACACTTACCACCAGCTGCCAAAGCAATCGCTGCTGATCATGATAGGGGTTGTGAGGGGGGAACTGAGCGTGCAAGCAGAGACAGCACACTCAACAACAGCCCGAAAGAGGCCACATCAGCAGCTGGTGGCAAAAAGCACAGGCACATGCACAGCAGTAGAATCTCGGAAATGCAACACACGGAAAAGCAGCTCACTCTATACGTTGTGGGAAGCGGGAGATCTGCCAGATTCAACAAAGGAACTCGTGGAGCCTGCGGAGGGTGCTGGTTCTGCTGCTGCAGCAGCACAATTCTCCTACTGCTTCTGCTGCTGCTTCTGCTGCTGCTGCTGCTTCTGCTGCTACTGCTGCTTCTGCTGCTGCTGCTGCTTCTGCTGCTGCTGCTCTCTTCATCAGTGCTGCTGAAAACACAATCATGTGCATCGACCCTGTTGACGCCGCAGTTACGAGTATCGGACGTGAAGCGGTGTGTCTTTTTTTCACAGCTTCCCAATGACGCTGCCTGATCTTCCAGAGCATGCATAGGAGCTGCACCGTCTCTAGCCCTTCCCGCTGAGCGCTCTGCCGCTGCAGCCATCCATGGACGACCCTCAAAAGTGCGTTGAAATCTCAAAGAGGCAGCGGCACTCTTAGAAGGAAGGGCTGTAGTAGCGGATCCTGCAGCAGCAGGCAGCAACAAGCGACCTCCAAGGACTGTCGCCAGCTGCGCAGCCGTTGCTCTGAGGGAAAAAAACACACACATGCATGCACATTCATACACACACAAAGCGCTCACCCCGCCAAGTGGAGGGCATTGCCAGCTAGCTAGCTAGCTGGAGCTTCAGCACAAGCGATTCGCCAAGGTGCAGGGAGTAACGTTGGCAGCAAAAGCGGCATTTCAAAAGACCAGCACCATCAAATCGGCAGATTTATACCCGAAAGGCTTCCAGTTATTCCGACGACAAACTAGCAGCAGGGCGAATAGGTGCACTCGAGGCAGCAGGAGGCGCATGCAAACGTTCGACTGGCAACAGTTTTTACAGCCGCTGCAATTACAGCTGCAGCCCCTCGATCCAATTCTTCTGCCTCCGTAGCAGCTGCGGCCGGTGCATGCAACGCCTCGCTCTGTCCACAAGGAAGTGCTGTCACTGGGGCTTTTTTTTCGCGGAGATATGACATTTGCGGCAGGAGAAACAGCAGCAGCTAGGCAGCATAGAAACCCGCGAATGTGGAGGACTGAAAGTGTCTGCAAGAATACAGCAGAGAGACGTTTTGACACGGAAGACAAACGCTGCGGCAGCAGCAGCAACAGCAGTTCTGCCTGCAACAACTCCCGTACAAGTGCTGCTTCAGGTGCAAGAATACAACATCCATCGCAACCGTCCTTCCGACAGTGATCATGCCACGAGCTCGCAGCAGCAGCACATCCAGTTGCTTCGGATGTTGCTGTTTCTGATGTTGCCGATGTTGCATTTTCTGCTCCTCGACAGAATACAGAGCCATCACCCGAAGGACGGAAGCCGAAGTGGACACGTAAGAGAAGCGGGAGGAAGGGACCCCCCAATGAAAAATCAAAGAAAGTTTTCGTCCATTCGATGCAATTCGCGCACCGCTCGTTCAGCCTGAACGAGCAGCAGCAGAAGCAGCAGCCACAGTAGCAGCCACATGGGCATGAATTCTACCGCAAATATGCGATTTCGTTGAGACACCCCTGAGACATCCCTCAGCTCATTCCGCAGCTACACCGACAAACCCACGAGCAGTAGCGTCGCTTCCAGCAACAGCAGCAAGCAACAACAACGGCCTCATCTCACTTTAACAGCAGCAAGCAACAACAACCCTCAGCGGGAACTGTAGTAGGGGGCGCACTCTGCTTGGTAGGCAGTCCTTTTCCAAAAATCGCGGGGGAAAGCGGAGAGAGATCCCCACTCTCGCCAAGAGTTACACCTGACGCCGCTGTTGTTTCTGCCGTCCGAACTGCTGCTTGACTCACACAAAGTGGAATTTGCAGACTTTCTCGCTGCAGAGAAGCCGCGTCGCCAGTGGCAGCACAAGCCGGTGGTCCTCATTGAAAGAGCAACGCGAAGCAACGACCCCATGAGGCAAACTAAGCGCTGCCGAGCAGCAAACAGAAAATCCCTTGCAGCTCCCTCTCTGCCGTTGCTGCTGCTGCTGCTGCTGCTGCTGCAACGCCCTTGACCCCGTGCAGCAGCAAAGGCGGCACTTGCAGCCACCAGGTGTACCTCCACTCTACCACCCGCCAAGATTTCGCGGCTACACAAGGCTAAGCAGCAGCTGAAGCAGTGCCCTGATGCACTAGCAGCAGCAGCGCAGGCTGCAGGAGCAACCGCATGCGCAACACTGCGAGATAGCTGCTTTCTCTCTTGTTGGTGATTTCTCTGCTGCTTCTGTTGCATCTGCTTTCTCTGCTGTGTCTGTTGTACCTGCTCTTGGTGCTGGTGAACGCCCTCGAGGCGCGAAGATCGCAGCAGCAGCAGCGTGGCATGAGGATCCCCCACTGCCTTCTGCAACAGAACCGCCACAAACTCAGCAATGCAAGCCAGAAGGCAGCACGCTGCGTGTGTTGCCGCAGAAGCAGCAGGCAAACAGCCGTTCCTCACGGGAGAGCTGATGCAGCAACAACACTGCAGCAGCGTCCCCTTCAGCTGCCTGTCCAGCAGTGCAGCTGCAGCAGCTGCCGCAGACGCCACTGCCTCCTGCGTCAGAAGCTGCAGGCTGGCAGTTGCCACACTCAAAGCAGCGCACAGACTGTAACGGGCAGCAGCAATGTGCAGCAAGTGCAAGCGGCTGGAGCTGCTTTCATCGCCAGCGTCACGGCTGCAGCAGCATTTACAGCCTTCCAGAGAGGCGTTTGACGCCGCAGCAGCATCAAACGATATGAAAACGTCGTGCTGCTCAGTAACAGATGTAGTATCGCCACCACTCAAAAGACTGCCACACTTCGCGCGGACTGCCGCTGCAGGAGGAGCTGCACATGCTGCTGCTGCAGCATGTGAGGCTTGCAGTAGACGCTCTGCAGCCTCTTGCACTGCGCTACATACCAACTCCACCAGCGTTGTAGGGCGCTCCTTCGGATTCTTCGTGGGGATGCTGCTAAGGCTGCTGTTGTTAAGGCTGCATTTCATGCTGCTGAGACTGCTGTTAAGAGTGCTGTAACTCTGTTCAGAAACGAACGCTGCGTATTCTCTGCTCAGGGCAGCATCTTGGCGAATGCTGCTCCTCACACTGCCCTTCATCGGAATTTCTCTATTTCCACTGGACTCGTGAGTGGCAGCGCCGTCTTTTTTTGCAGCCTCCTTCCTGCGCTGCTGCGTCAGGTACCAGAGCAGCAGGTGTTGCTGCCGCTGCACCTGCCGTTGCTGCTGCTGCTGTTGCCGCGTCCAGCAGCCAAAAAGATCCCATAGAACGAGAATTTGCCAAACTGAGGCAAAAGCGCCAAAGGGCACTGAGCGGCAGCAGCAGCACCAGGGAGCGTCGGTAGGGCTGCATCTTCCTGTTCTTGGCGATACTGCTGCTGATGCTGCAGCAGGGGGGGGAGAAGGAGCATGCATGCCCCTTGTTGCGCGGCAGGGATGATGAAGGTGGAGATCCGATGCAGCAGCCTGACACGTGACACCCCACAGCTCCTGCTGCAGCCTTGTTGCGGCCTGCTCTGCTGCTTTCGCTGCTGCACCCTTCCGTTGGCATTGCTGCTGCTGCTGCAGAGCCTCCGCTATCGTAGCGACTGCTTCGCGCATCGATCGACAGTCGCTGGAGTCAAGAAACGCTGGCAGCCGATGTGGGTGGTGTGGGGAGGCGGACTGCTGCCTTTCACCGCGACTGAGGCATCTACAAGAAAGCAGATCCTCAGGCCACAAGAAGGCTGCGCAGCAGCTGCTGCTGTTGCTGCTGCTGCTGCTGCATGCACGCGCAAGGACCATGTGGTGCAGCGCTGCAACAGGGATGCATTCCCGAAGCAAATGCAGCTTCTGCTGCCACTGCCGCTGCCGCAGCAGCAGCAGCTCCTGTTGCTGCAGCACATTGTTGCGGCTGCGCATGCCAGAAGAGCATCCTGCAGCCGCCTGGAAGAGCTCTCCTAGCCGTTCCTGCTCTCGCCGCAGCGACTCTTGTTGCTGCTGCAGGCTGCTGCAGGATAGCACCAGCGACGCATGCAGCAGACGCAACAAGCAGCTCCTAGCATAAGCCAAAGAAGCAAGCGTCTTGGCTTCCATTGCCGCTTTGCGCAGTGGTGCAGCGGTGCCAGCAGCAGCTGGTGTGCGGCTGCTGCCGCAACAGCGGGCAGCAGTTTCATGACGGAGAAACTTGGCAGTTGAAGTGGCGCAGGGGTTGTGCTGCGCTTGCTGCAAAGGATATTCCTGAGCTGAATCTTTTGCAGCTCCCCATCGACTGTCATCGCAGGTGCGACAGAGGCATCGGGTAGCTGCTGCTACTTGCTTGGATGCTGCAGCTAGCTCTCCACCATATGCCTCCAAACGCTCCTGAATGCAATGCAGCAAAAGCGACACCCTTCGCATCGCCTTCGTTTCGTTTCTCAGGCCGTACAGCCACGCTTTACTTGTTGCACACAGCAGAAACAGCATACTCGCTGCTGCAGCTGCTTCTTCGGCTGATCCTTTGACTGCTCCTTTGACTGCTTCTTCAGCTGCTTCTTCGGCTGCTCCTTCGACTGCTTCTTCAGCCGCTTCTCTCGCGTCTGCATCCCTTTTAGTCTCCGAGACTGCTGCTGGAGAGGTTCCCATTAGACGATTCATAGACAGTAGCAGCATGTGCAGCACCGGATGCAGTAGACGGTGCCCTCCGAAGCGAACAAGACGCTTTAGAACAAGACTACAGAGCAGCAGGCTGGCCGTTACCTTGCTGTTGGTGCTGCCGAGACACCCCAAGAGCTCCCCAGATGCGCAGCTGCATGCACTCCCTGCTGCACTATATGTATCATCTGCAGTGTCAGCGATGGCGTCATCAGGGGATGCTGCCTTCGCTTGAGTTGCATTCTGAGATAACACCAAGCAGCGACAAGCCCCTCGCCAGGTTTCAAAAGCAAGTGCAAGAGCCGCATTGAACAGGTGCCCATCTTGGTGGTGATTCGGCTGTTCTTCATACTGCCGCTGCTGTTCATACTGCTGCTGCTGTTCATACTGCTGCTGCTGTTCATACTGCTGCTGCTCTTCATGCTGGTGCTGCGCTTCATACTGCTGCTGCTCTTCATGCTGCTGCTGCTCTTCATGCTGCTGCTGCTGTTCATGCTGCTGCTGCGCTTCATACTGGTGCTGCTGTCTAAGCAAGTGCTTTTGATCCTGGAGCAGAAAGGCAGCGGTCCCGAGGATCTCGTTTATTTCTGCCTGGTCTGTTGCTTGCTGCAACGCGTTGGCGACTTGAGTGAGTGCACAACAGACGCAGTCTTGCTGCAGCAGCTGCTGCGGTGTTTCTGGCATCTGCGGCAACTGCTGTTGCCTTGCAGTCATCTCGTAAGGACCTGCAGCAGCTGCTGAGGGTTTTGTGGTTTGTGCACGGCATCTGCTGCTGCTGCTGCTACTGCTGCAATGAACGCTGACGGTGACGCTGCTAAACTCATGACTTCTCCTGCTGCAGACACGGAAGTTCGCCCCCCTCCCTGCGTCTTAGTTGAGCCGCCCAAGCGAACGGCTACTCGTGGGATTAGAAAACAGCGTCAACACCGACGATATTCGCAGCACAGCTGTCAGATTCGTAGGGTGTACAGCATGCCAGCGGCTGGCGGAGCTGCTGCAGCGGCTGCCGCAAAGCCCATGATAAACGCCGTTAGCACATCCCTCTCACTAACAAGCCCCTGCATTAAGCCTTTAATAAAACGCGGTTACGGGGAGAGACAATGCGAACTGCTGCCGCTCTTGCAGCAGTAGCGGCTTCCGCTACTGCTGCTGCTGGGAACTGCGCCGCGGTTGAGAGTGACTCATCGGGGAAGGAGGGGCCTCAGTCGCTCCTAAGCCTCTTGAAGCATGGCGAAGAACTCCAGAGACAAATTTTCAGCAAAGATTTTCTGTAAAATCAATGCCTTGAGTCATAAAAGCTTGATATCCAAGACTGCCAGGCTGCATTATTTCCGCTGTTGTCGGCGCTCCCGCTACTTGCACTCATTGCGGTGAGGGCCCCTCGATCTCCGGAGAGAAGTCCCTCCAAAGAGAGCAGGAGGTAGAAAAGGGATGCTGCTGCTTGCTTTTGCTTCACCTGACCCTTCTGCGTTTGCTGCTGCCTGCGTTCCGCCTATTGCTGGCTCCTCTGCTGCACGCGTTTGGCTGCTGCTAGGAGCTTCCGACACTAAGAAGATTGTCGCTGTGCTCAGAGACCAGTGGCCTCAGGTGCTCACGGCAGTGCCCGACGAGCCTCCCAGAAAAGGGTCTGCAGGCGAATAAATTGTTTGTCGTTGAGGAACCATAGTTGGAAGCAGACCCCAAACTATGAAGGAAATTGTCGAATGTTCCGCTTGAAAAAAACTCCCTCCTTCCCCTGCCCGCGACCTTCGAAGTTCCAAATATGAGGCGAGAGATACAGCGACATTGTGCGTTGCTCCACCCTCTCAGCAATATACGTGTGGGCATGTGGCTAGATGCACCCAGTAGCATCTAGCCACACGCCCACACGTATATTGCTGAGAGGGTGGAGCAACGCACAATGCAATACACAAGACACACAAATACAAATCATTATGGCACTGTCTACTAATTTACAGCTAAACATTAGTGTATCAAAACTATTCAATTGCAGGTAGCCAGCTAACTCGTCCCCCCTCCTCCCATTTCAAAACACATGCCCTCATGTTCCATACCTGTACATTGAGAGCAATTACCTCGCACAACAAGAGAGATATCCTGCTTAGCCATCATTAACGAGGCAGCCAGAAGCCCAACAAATAATGCAAGGAGGATAGCCAAAGTGTTCATCAACTGATAAAAAGGCATACAAGGAACGAAAAAATCGAAGAATAGCCAACAATGGACGAGGGTCCTGATCAGCACAGCCGCAGTGGCATGATAGCTTGATGCCGTCGAAGCGCTTGAATCTATGAGCCTGCTACAAGAGAAATCATAAGATATGTGAAGTGTGTAAACGCAGTCAAAAACACACTAGTTCAGCAGTACCTTCGAAACGCAAGCAACAAACATGCACTTAAAAAGCAGCCGTTGTATGAGGCATAGTTGATTTTGAAGCCCTAAACGAGGCATAAGAAAGAATACAGACACGGCATTCCCCAAGGCACCGTAGCATCAATACACATCAAGAATAGGTGGCACCTTTTTGAGCAACACCTGTTGACAAGAATAATGATTTCAGACTGAGTATGCGTGAACACGCTAGACGGGACTTACTAGTGGAACGAGGTTTGGAACGCTAGCCTCACCTTTTTCTTGGGAAGGCAGTCGAGGGCTTCGTTACCTGCGAGAGAATTTGCTTCTCTGATTGATTAGCAACGCTGGTTGCCATGGACGTATCCTTTGTTTCCCTTGACAATTCTTCCTCCCCAGCACATAATATGTCTAAATTACTAATTTTCGCACACGGGTTCTGGTCAAAATGCTGCCATTTATCGTTGTGAAGGTGTTGTTACCACACTAAGCTTTTGTGCGCAGGCGCAACAATATGTGATGTCTCCACATTCTTTCAAATGCCTCTTTTGAGGGCTCTCAGATTAACTACGCTGCGTACAACCACTATTTTTGCATGCATTAAAAATTGCTCTATGAGTTTCGAAAGCACTGCTGAACTGGTGTGCACTCTGATTTTCTCTTCGAACTTTCCTTGTCTACTCTCTTCTTGTGGAAGGAAGCTGAGATAGTTCAGCACTCTGGGTACAGCGAGACGTCGTGCGTCCTCGGATGTGCTGGTTTGGCCCCTCGTTCGTTGTTTGCCAATGTTTGGGTCTTTTATTCTTGCTTATGTCACTATAGCAGCTGACGCACACATTTGCATCTCTAATTTGCAGTGTTTTCTGTTGCCGTCAGCCTGGGGAGTGGCGATAGGTCGGAACTCTCCCCCTGTCCTGCAGACACTTGGTCTCGACGTACAGGCAAGGAACGGGTGGGCATGCGCGTTGAGATGGAAGGAAGGAAAATGTAGCGGGTCATTTCGCACTTTAACACTTTCTGCTATACAAATAACACTCAGCTAAGCACCCACAAGGAATGAAGGTATTGCTTTACTGTTGCCGAATTTTGTTTGGTGCAGAGTTCTGCAGGCGCGGGGGTTTTGTGCCGCTGGAGTGTAGCAGCACAGGCCCTACCACTTCTTGTACCCTAAAAAGGAGGGAGCTCCAATGGTAGTTTGCAAGGGAAGGCGAGAGCGTTTTTGACAGAAAAATTTATGAAGTTTGTATTGTCCCAAGTAAAGTATCTCCTTTGGGAGATCTTTGAAGAAGTGTTACACTACATGCCCTTCGTGTCCGACGATACAAAATAAAGATTTGGATGCTGGCAGCTGTTGCACCGTATGTCAGTGCTCACTGACGACTTAGGCACGCCCAATCCGCCATCACGTGCACTTCTTCCTCCTTTGTGCTTCCTGTCGCTGCACCTGAAGCTCCTGCTGGTTGGCTGCGCTCGCGGCAATGCGACAGCGTAGGGCACCCCCAGCTGCCGTTAGCAGCCGCTGCAGCAGCAGCAGATTCAGGAGCACCAGCAGCAGCACCAGAGGCACAACCCAAAAGACAAAGATCCATGTGTCTGCTGCTGCCCCATAGGAACCTGACACCCAACCCTGCAGCAGCAGCCATTCCTGGTTTACGTACAGCTCCCTCTGGAGCACCTGAGAGGTGCGTAGGCACCCCAGGAGCAGCAATAGTAGTCCGAACTGATACCTCAGATGCTTGCTGCGCACGGCTACTAGCAAGATCAGGAAGAGACACAGCAAAAGCAGCAGCAGACACAGCACGAGCGGGTCGGTGTATCGCGTGGAGAGGATGGCTGATTTGCACTGAGCCAACATCGGTTTCAATGCATCCTCCGGCAGGGGTTGCTGCTGAGGGGCTGACGCATCATATGGTCCGAAGAGTGAGGACAAAAATGACCCCCTTGGCGAAGCAACGTCTGCATGCATTGGTGAGAAACTGGGTGAGCAAGGAGAGAAGACAACACTGCAGTGCGCGTTTCAGCGATTGGTGTTGCTGCTGCTGGAAGCTGCTGTTGGCTGTGGCAACAGCTGTCCTAGCCGGCCTTTTGCCTGTTGCTACCTGTCAGTTCTTGGACTGGTTCTCTTGGCTATAGTGGTGCCTGTGCATGCATTAATGTGTATATGTCCATTATGTATGTGTGAGTACACGCAAGCAAGCACAGGCGTCTGTCTGTCCGGGTTGGCGTGTCTGTAACAGTGTGCTTCTGTATGTCTGCTGCGCGTAACTGCTGTTGCACCTCGGATTCGTGGCATATTAGCATTTACGACATGGCTTACGGCGGGAGTGCTTGAGAAAACCGCGCGCTGCTGCTTGAAAACTGGCCGTAGATGTTCATAACACCACCCGTTGCGCAATCGGAAACAACTAGCCCTCCGTTCGGCTGCTGGTGTTGTTAGTTTGCTTGTCCGTATCCCGACCGCTTCTATGATTCCTGTAGTTGAATTCTTGTTATTTATGCAGGGAGAGTGGAGAATGGGGGTGTGGATCGGCCTCTGCACATGTGTTACAGCTTTCTTCCGCAGTGGTGGGACGCTGGAGGATGCCGATGCATGTCCACGCACGCCGCCAGTTTATTTCTTGAATGCCGCTGTAGCGATACGTTTATTTCTGTTGATAGTTTTTCTGTGCGGGGTTGTTGCTCATGATTCGCTCACAACTCCTCCACATCTTGTAACTTGAACGCTGCCCAGGGAACGCGTCCTGCTGCAGCAGCGGCGCCAGTCGCTGCTGTGCATGCTGCTTTTGCTGTTTGTATGCGCGCTTTTTTACCACTATTGAAGCACCTTCTATCTTTCTTGTCACTTGCCACTGTTGCTTCCTTCTTACCTAGGAATTTCCTGCCTTTTTCTCCCCGTGTCTGCGGCTCCTGCCCACCCCCGCCAGCAGAGCCACAAGTATCACAGCGACCCCTGCTTCTCTCTCCCACTTGTTTACGGCATAATTTGTCGTCGTACTTGGCATCTTCTGCTGCTCTACCTTGCGAAGATGTGCCCCACCCCGCCTTCTTTCGACTACGATTTCATTGGTAGGCAGCGGCATGTCCCAGTTTGCGGCGTCTTTGCACTCGCCGTTCTTGACTCTTGCCCTACCCTTATTCCCTTGTATGGTGGTGCACGATCGCGCTCTGCTTAAGCGGGGTGTAGAGGGGCTGGGGGGTTGTTGCAAGTACCGACCAACGGAGTGCCTTGAGGCAGATGTCGCATAAGACGCACACCTCCTGCACGCGCGTTCCACGTTGCGATGAGACTCGCTGCGTTTTCGCTTTTTTGCTCGGTTTCGAGAGCCTGCCCGCCGTATGTTTGTGCTGCATCTCTTCCTTCCGCCATGCTGCGTAGAAATCCTGCCAGGGGCACCCGTGTCGAGAGCTCTCGCGCGCTTGCCGCATGCATCATGTGATCCATTGCGGTTGCCTCCGTCTGTGTTTGCCCGTCACGCGCAGTCATTGGCGGGGGATCTGGAGGACTGGCGAGTGCAAAGGAGGCTGCAGCGTGTGGCGCTCGCGTCGTCGTGTTCGATTTCGTCAAGCCTTCTACCCAGGGGACGCATTGGGGGCTTGGCGGAACTTGCGTGAATGTCGGCTGCGTGCCAAAGAAACTGATGCATTACGCAGCTGGCATGCAACAAATCCTCTCTTGGGATTCCAAAAAGATGGGGTGGAGCGACTTCGAGAAGATTGACGAAGAAACTGGAGAACCCGTACAAGTGCATGAACACTGCAACTGGACGAGACTCGTGCAGGTCTGAAGACGCCCCCCTCCAGCAGTCTTGCACCGCCCAGCAGCTAGCCAATCACGCAGCCAGCTAGCCAATCACACAACCAGCTAGCCAGCTCCAAGTTCTTGTGGAGCGAGATGCTTGGCGACAAACGCAACTCGTGGGGTTGCTTCTATGAGCTGGTGGCAGCTAGCTGAGCTCACCCTCACTTGTATAGGCCTATGCATGGGCTGTGCGTACTCGGACTTCCATTGCGCTGCTCCTTTAATGCAGCTCGCGTAGACATGCACTGCCCTCACGTGTATGAAGGAAATTCCGCATCTCATCTCTACGCTTCCTCTGTGCCTTGTGCTACCGTTTTCCGCATGTCACCATGTTTCTGCTTATATATATACATGTGTATATATCTACAAATGTATATACATACATATATATATGTACATGTGTATACATTTACAAGTGTATACACACATAAATGCAGTCACGTCTACATATACATGTATGTAGACATGCGCTCGTGTATCCCTCTCTGTGGGTAAATGCCAGATTGCTTGTAACGTGTATCTGTTGCGGTTGCTGCGTTGCAAAGAGCGCTTGGCTGTGCGTTTACTCTCTTGACTCTTACGGTTCTTGTCCAGGGGCGTCCCGCAGTCGTGTGGCTGTACCTGCCTGCCTTCCCCGCTCGAGCATTCATTCCTTTCGTTCTGTCTCCTTGTGTTTATTTTTAAAGTGTGTTCAGGCGTATGTGAAGCAGCTGAACTTCAGCTATCGGACAGGCCTTCGCGCAGCCGGCTGCACATATATGAATGCCCTTGCCACCATCAAGGATCCGCATTCAGTGGAATACGAGGAAAAAGGCATTGTCCGCCTGCCCATCGATGAGCAAGATGAATGCATGCTTAGCTGGCTTCCCTTCTTCTCTATTGTCAATGATCTACATCTCGTTTTCTCTCTCCTTTTATGTGTGCTACTGTCTCCATATCCATCTGTCTACTGCTTTTTCACGTGTGCGCCTGTTCCTGTCCGTACGCTTACGAAGTCGCATGTTTCATGGCGGCTGCCTGCGTTTCTGCTGCTGCCTACGCATGTCACCCTCCCTGCTGGCGGGCTGCGTCTTCTTTTTCCGTGTGATGCTCTTGAAACCATGGTATACACAGATATATATATATATATATATATATATATATGCTGCCTTGGAAAGCATGCGTCCTCCGGCAGGTCTGTTTTCCCCCCTGACTGCGTGTTCCTCCGAGTGCGCCTTCACTCACTGCCTCCGCCGTGCGTTTGGGGTGTATGTACGGTCTTCCTGCAGAAGAAGCGCGTGACTGCCAAACACATTCTTGTTGCAGTTGGCGGCCGTCCTTCCATCCCGGATTCAGTGCAGGGGGCCCAAGAATTCGCAAAGACTTCTGACGACCTCTTCAGCCTTCAGACGCCTCCGGGAAAGACGTAGGCGCTCTTGTGCTGGTGGCTGCTCAGGACAGCGTTGCGTGCGCTGTCTGACTGACCCTCTTCAGACTTGCATGCCTCTTGCAGGCATGCAAGTCTGCGATTTTAAGGATCAGGCGGGGCTCCCAGTTCTTAGGCTTCTTGATTGGCGTGTGCATGCCTTCGTGCGCCTTCTTTATCACCGCGCGTTGTCGCTGTTTTGCGGCTTTTGCATGGTGGGGTGTACGCGCAGGTTAATTGTGGGTGCGAGCTATATCGCCTTGGAGTGCGCGGGTCTACTCACCGAACTTGGCTTCGAGGTATTTACACCTGCGTCAGGGGGGCTGCGTTATTGCCTGCATGGATACATGTATGCATGCATGCACACATCCACGCAGACATGCATGTATGCAAACAAGCGCCCTTTGCGGCGCATGGTTGCACGAAAGGCGATGTGTTGAGATGCCACCGTACGTTCGGCAGTGTAGGGACTGCTGCATAGAGAGTTGGATTTATAGAAGACTCTGGATATTGGGGAGCAACACACGGAAGAAACACCTTTCGTTGCCTTGACATCGCCCTTGTTGTGTGTCTTCATAGCCCTTTATTCGAGCAACCACACTTGTGTGCAGCGGCCTTTTTTCGCAGGTAGTGGTGGCAGTCCGGTCTTTATTGCTACGCGGCTTCGATCGCCAGTGCGCGCTCAAAGTAGGACGGTGCATGCGCGAAATGGGAGTAACCTTCATGGAGGGGGTCTTGGTGGAGAAGATCGAAAAGACGCAGGAGGAGAAACTTCGCGTCACGCTAAGGGGATCCTTGGATGCAGATCGATTGGAGCACATGGAATTCGATACTGTCCTTTACGCAACCGGCAGAAGCGCAGACACCAAAGGGCTCAGTAGGCAAAATGCTTGGCTTCTTGCTGAATCATCTGCCTGAATGGTGGAGAGTATTTTTACATATGCATGTGTATATATATATTATGTATATATTGGATTTATAGATCCCTCTTTCTCGGATTTTCTCTGCAGTAATGCTTTTGTCTGTTTCTCGCTCCTCTGCGCATACCCCTCTGACCGCGCGCCGTATGTTTGCGCGCCGAATGTATGTTTCTGAGTGTTTCATATACCTGGCCGTTACTCTTGGTTTTTTTTGCCGTCGAACCCTCAGAAATTAGCCGCGGTCGGGTTTACTTATGGTGCTTCCTTTTATTGCTGTTCACTCCTTGCATGGAGCGGTCCTCTTTTTTCTTCTCTTTGTCTGCATAAGGACGCTGTTTGACCGCGTTCAATATGCTTGTTGACACACTTTGCACACCTCGATTTCGATATAACCACTTTAAATCCCTTTGAGTCGGGCATCGAATAGGCGCCTCTCCCACCATCGCCTCCTCCTCGTTTCTGCATAGCGCGAAGGAGCGTCGTCATGTTTTTCTTCTCTGCTTCATGCATAGGTTGCTGTGATGCGCTTCTGGCTTCTGTGTGGGACGCTCAGACTTAGAGGAACTCGGCGTCAAATGCAGTGCCGAGGGTCGCATCATTTGTACTGAAGGCTCTGCAACCACAAGTCCTTCCATTTACGCAGTTGGTACATTTGGATTAAAATTTTTTCACCTAGCTCATTCTTGCTATTCGAGCGCGTTCTGTCATTTGTGTGCCCGTACGATTTCCCCACCTACAGTCTCCAAGTGTTTGTGCCTCCTTGCCGTGAATACAGACGCAAACTCGTCGCCTCCTAACGTCTCTCTTTGAGTCTTGCGGCTCTCTGACTCCTGTACTCCTCAGGCGATGTTGTAGAAGGCTTCCCAGAGTTGACCCCTGCTGCGATACAAGCGGGAGAAATCCTCGCACGGAGGCTTTTTAAAAACAGCACGGAACTTGTAAGCGCCGCTAGACCGTGGCGAGTCATTCGCCCTTGAGCTTCTTTCTTGGCATGCAGGATGCTCTTATACATGCACGCCTCATCCCCCACCCCTCCACCCCCCTTTCCAGTTCCTGTCTGTCTCCTCTTTCTTTGTTACGCACATCATGCTGAGAGTAAATGCTGCATTTTGTGCATTTGCACTGCTGCGCCGGCGCTTCTTGCCGTGTGGTCCTTAGTGCCTATCTTTGTTTGCGCGTGTGTCGTATGAAATACGTATGCTCGCGACATGGAAGCCTTAATTTTGTCAATTTACATTTTTAGAGGCAGCACGCTCTCCTGTTTGCCGCCTGGTGCAGTTCCCTGGTAGCTCTCCTGTGTGTGTGGGCGCGCACGCCACTTGGATCTAGTAGTTGACGGCTTTTGTATTGAGCATTCACTTTCTCGAAAAAATCGCATCAAGTTTTAAGAATCGCACTCTTCTTCCAGGACGCGTATATATATATATGTGGAGTTTTTGCACAGATGAGCACAAACAACGTACCCACGACCGTGTTCACACCCGTCGAATATGGATGTGTCGGACTATCAGAAGAAGCCGCGATCGTGCGTCTTTGACCTTCTTTCTCTTCCTGTCTCTTCTCTTTCTGCTCGTGTTCCCTCCTCTTGCTTGGCGCTGTTTTCTTGCGTCCTGCTTACCCATGTGCCGCTTTCTTGTTGCTTCTGCCCAGTAGCGCACGTGGTCTTCCTGTTCTAGCTGCAAGTGTTGCCCCTTGCGTTCGCCGCCTGTTGCTGTGAATTTTCTGCACCTGGACGCGCTGCATGCACTGCCCGTCATCCTCCATGTTCTGCCTCTTTCCAGGAAGAGCACGGCGATTCGAACATCGAAGTGTTTTTGACGGAGTTCTGTCCCCTGGAGTTGTCAGCCTGCCATCGGCAGAAGGCTCCCTCCTCACGCTTGGATGAGGCCGACATTGATTTAACCCCCCCTTGCTTGGCGAAACTCATTTGCCTGAAGAGCGAGAACATGAAGGTGATTGGCGTGCACTTCGTTGGTCCCAACGCCGGAGAAGTTATTCAGGGCATGGCCATCGCCGTGCGACTTGGCGCAACCAAGGTAAAGAAAAAGACACAGACACAGAGAAGAGCTCATGCTGAACCTCTCTAGGAGAGCCGCACGGGCCCCCCCACAACGCAGAACGGGAGCGAGGCAGGCAAAGTCGGAGCGGAATTCCCTTCGTAACGAAGTATATAGAGATATATACATAAATATATACATATGAATATGTATATATGTATATATGCGCAAAAACGAGCGCGAGTCAGAGAGCAGCAGAAACGCTGAAAGCAAGAACGCCGCCATGGTGCTGAGCGTGTGCGCATGGGTAGTGTTGCGATATTGTTTTGTGGACAGGCTGATTTCGACAAAACCGTGGGCATCCACCCAACGAACGCCGAGTGCTTCACACAGCTCTCGATCACTCGCCGGAGCGGAAAAAATTGGATGGCCGCTGGAGGGTGTGGTGGTGGAAAATGCGGCTAAAGTACATTCATCGGCTGCCGCCTTCGAGGAGCGGGAGAAGAGCAGGCGAGATGCAGGAAGAGGGCCTGCTGCATGGGTGGATTTGGAAGTTTCGCCGAAATCCCTTGCGTTTCTGAGCATGCATGCCTTGCTTTCTGTAATTGTCGCTTTTACTTGCTATCTGTTGTGTCTTAAAGGTCACCCGTGATTTTCTTCTAGTGGTGATTCTTTTGCTCACAGCGTTTTCGGCTCCCTCAGCGGATCTCTCCTCATGCAAATCGGCATGCCGAGACCTCCTGAGGGGCTCGCCTCTGCCTTTCCTATTTATCCGTGCCGCAGGCGAACTGCCACTCTTTCTAGTCTTTACCCAGCGCTTCTTCCTCTCCATCAGCAGCGCCCGCTCCCACGGTTAGCCGTGCGTGTGTAGGGGTACTGGCGAAACAAAGGGGTCTGAGCCAGAGGGTTATGACCCCAGAAAAGGAGAAGGCCGAACATAGCTAGTTAGCTAGTCAGCCGAAAAGCTAGCACTAGGCGAGATCCAGGTAGCGTGAGTGCTTGCTCGTAATTCTTCTGCGCAACGCCCCACAGGAGCTGCGGCGTGAGAAGATTGAAAAACAGCCGCATCACGCGCGTGGTGCATCCAAGGGCATATATATAGTTCCCTGAGGGGTGGTGCTGGTGGCTTGCTAGAATTTCACCAAGAGGTGGAGAGTACCCTCCTGTGTCTGCTGACTGCAACTTCACTAACTTGGCGGCAACCTATCGCGCCCCTGTCGAAGGCAAACAGGGCCCCCTATGAGAAAAATTATATTTCTTTCCCCGTGCGTGTCCGTATCCTGAAGTGGCGACAGTATGCCGCTGCTTCGAGTGTATGCGGAACTTCCAGCTCCCCTTGTCCGCCGCGTCTCCTCCCCCACAGGCTACCGTGTGGAGAGGCGGAAAAGCTCTCTCCTGCGTTCCCTGTTGCCCCCCTTTGCCTGAGGGGCAGCGCCGTCTTTTGATCTACACAGCGCTGGTACTTTGAATGGAGTTGCCTCACTCTCTCGTCTTTCTGAGTCCTTTCATAGTGTTGGCGGCCATTTTGCTGGAGCTGCGTTTAAGCATCTGTGCAGGTAGTGATTTTCGCTCGCATTTCGGTCCTAGGGATATGCTGTCTGTTTCAACGATCCAGCTAAGGTCTCCGTAGGAAGGCGCTCAACTCCAGACGCAATACAAACTACTTAGAAATTGTTGAGTGTCACTTCAAGAAACCCCATTTTCCCTGTCTGAGCCCTTCAGGATTCCGACATTTAGCGAGGAGAACAGCGAGACTCCGGGCTGCCGCACCCTCTTAAAATTTCGAGCGTTTACACGAGTTGCACATTGTATCCAGTGCAACTGCAGACAATATAAATATTTATTCTACTGAGCTATGGCGAATCTGCAATAAATGGGATGTCCTCCAAGCCCAGCCAGATGCTTGTCTTTGCACTAAAATTCTTGAACACTACATGTGTAGTAGCGAGTGCCACTGAGTGGCCAAGGCCATTATTTCTGTCGTAAGGGATCTTAGAGATAAAACGCGAGGATACCGTCATCATGGGCTTCCATGGTGTGTGCCGAAGCCCCTATAGTGCGCGAGCCCCGCAAAATAGGTGCTACTTTTATGCGGAAGCCGCGGTGTGGATGTACGAGCTCTCCAGAGGAGCCTGCGTTCGGTTAAGTGGAGGCTGTGTCCGCTAAACTCCTTAGCGAATTGCGTAATCTGGTGACACCCCAGATGCGCACTCAGATACGCCAGTCAGGCATCATTCAAAACATTTGCCGACGTCACGGATACGACAATGCTCAGCTACCTGCAAAAGGAGGCTTGGGAAGAGCTTTCAGCGAAAAATGTGGAACAAATGTCTTCATTGGCACACTGCAAGCGAAATATCTGGCTGTGTTCACTTAAGCGAGCATCCGCTACCGGTCTTCCCGCTGTCTTCCATACGCAATGCACCCTCTGTAGACTGCTAGATCCAGTGTTGTCAAATCTGGGCTGTGCAAGCTGCATGAATAAAGTGAAAACGGCCCTCGATTCTCAAATTGTCACAGCTTGCTGGCACTTTTCTTTTAAAAAAAAGAGCTCTTGTTTGACTGGCCCGCTATAGGGGGCCTGCAACTACGCATGGCTTTGGAAAGACTTGTGGGCATAGTTCGCACTCAACAGGCATTACAGGCATATGGTTTGCGATACAGCATGAGCTTGTGTAAGGCTGCATTTGTCACAAGAAAAAGCCGTCTGGGCCTTGTACTGTGTCAGTGGGATCTGGGTACACAACGAAGATCGAATCGAATGCGGTACGTACAATGCATAGTCATGTTACGGCCTGCGGTCATGCCGAACAGCTCTGCTCGCTGCTTATGTTCCCCAAAATACTTTGCTGGCTTGAGAACCGGCAAGACTATGACACTGTGATGGATTTCAACAAGCTTTACAGCTGTATTGCCCCGCTCACGGAATTGGGCCAAGTCAAGGGATCATCATTGAGAGCCGACGGAGTTCAGGCAGCACTGATAAATTTAGTGGCCCAGAAAAACAGTCGGACAGCAGAATGTGGGCATATTGAGATCTTTGAAACGATGTGCAGCTGTAACATCTGCCAGTGCCCCTCCAGTGACCCCTGCAAGGGACAGGTGCGAGAAATAGTACCTGAGGCAGATCCTCCCACAGAGCAACACTCCGCGGAGCAAGCTTGGCTGCCTTAAGCCCAAAATAATCTAAACACAGCGGGATCGCTCCAGATCACACGTTGCTGCCTGCCATTATCAAAACGGGAGGAGCCTTCGGCCTGTCAACACCGGTAGTAGGCAGGCTCAGCTGGACCAGAGGTATTAGGGCGCTGGTAAAGGGGTTGCAGAATTAAGGGTAGGGCACAACAAGACGCCCACATAGTGGTCTGCTGAGCATCTAGCGTTACAGGCGCCTTAGAGGACTAATAAAGATATTTTCAAGTAGTTTTCGCGGGGGTGGAGCTTTGATTTAAGCACGCCGGTCGATTCCAAACATAATTTGCCAGTATAATCTATTACAGAATATTGCACGCAAAACACCCTTTTGTCTCCAGTCACAGAAGAAATAGCACCCGTTAGTTGTGCCAGCGTCACCCGATCCTATAACCCTGCGAGCCTGTGGATGCCCTCGAGCCTTTCTGCGTTCTCATATGCTACTGCCGCTCCATTTTATTGGTAGCGAGGGAATTTGGGCCCGTTTATGAAGGACGTGCTGCTCATTTATGCTTTGGGAGGCTTGTGCTGACCGTCAGCCCCTCTTCTCATATCGTGTTGTCTGAGCATTGCCTGGCTGTATGCCTCGTGCGGCAACGATAAAAACAGGAGAGCCATATATATAGCGTGCATTCGTGGAAAAGCCTAAAATTTAGCTAGAATTTAACATAAGAGCATCAATCTAGCGTGTGTTTTATCTTGCGCGTTTGGTTCCTCGACAGCTATCGATGCATCGTACCACTGCGTTGTCAGCTCCGCTACCGCGGATCCCGAGGCTCGTGAAGAGCAGTAACCATGTTCTGGGTTCTCGCCTCTCCATCGTATTCGATGATTTTCTCTTCCCTCATGAATAATTTGCCTCCCCTGTAGGGTGGTCGCGCTGGTGTGCGAATTAAACTCTTTCAGATGGCCCAGGCTTTGTCTCGCTAGTTGTTGAATACATAGTGCGAGCATTGGCAGGGGTTCAAATCACGTGCCCTTCTATATCAGCTATCCTCTGCTACTCCCCCCTGCTTTATGTTGTTCTATTGCTTCCCAGATTTTCTTTTCTCCGGTGGTAAAACCCACAGCACCAGCAATTTGGCGCAACAGGGAAGGCTACGTAGCAATGCGGCATTCTACACCGTAGAGCCTTTCATCAAAAGCATACAGCCCGCACTCTAAAAAGTTCATGCAATAGCTCCATTAAAACGGCCGAAAGTGGGGCATCTGTATGATTCCGTCGCGCCTCTTCCTCCGTCGTTGATTCTGGGATTTACAACCGCGCAAAGCAAATTCCATTATCAAGGGCGCTCTGTCTATAGCCCCTTCCACAGATCCGTCCCTTCCTTCACGGTATTTTAAGCGTGCGTATACCCCGTTGACGTGTTTCTCTCGGGGGTAGGATTTCAATCCCCCGCACAGAACCGTTACGAAGATGTACAGTTTCCTCCTTCGCCAATTGGCCCTATTTTTGATTGCCCTTGCCGCTGTGAGCGCCATTCTCGCCGAGGCTTTAGCTAAAACATGCCCCGATGACAAACCCGTTCAAAATCAATCTTGCACGCTCTCCCTCGAAGCAAACGACACTGCTTCGTTCACGTGCACGAATCCCTTCCCACAGGATTTCCCTGCAAAGATGCTGAACTGGATGGGAGAGCAGGTAACACCGCAGGAGCTCTTTGGAGAGGGAACAACAATAACACCAGACAGCAACGATAAAACAAAGTACACCATAAAAATAGGGGGATCGCCAAAGACCGCTTCGGGTGGGGTCACCTGCTCACAAACCTCCCGAACTCCATTGCAGGACCGCGGCAACGTTCCCGACGCTAAAGAGGCAGCAAAACTTGCTGTTCACTCCCTTGTCATTCGAGTCAATGAGGGCGAAGATTTCAGCAGAGAAGGTTACTTGGCAACGAGTGGGGTGGGCCAGGATTGTGTACAGCCTCCCGCCGCCCTACTGGCAACCTTGGCATCCGCCGCAGCTCTTTGGCTCACCCTCTAGCTCGACAGACGTGTGATCCAACGCATCTCCTCCCTTTTCGCTCTTGCATTCTTAACAGAGATGAAAGGCAGGAGGCGTTGGAGGGAGTGCCAGTTATATCGCAATCCCACCAAACATACCGCTTTTTCCATGCGTTGCAATCATAACGAGCTGTCACATCGACCCTACCACCTTGCCGTAATCTGCAGTGCGCCTGTTCTTAACGTTTCCAAGTGTCTGGCTGTGCCCCCGTCTAATTCGTTTCGCAGTTTTGCCGGCGGATGCTTTCTAAGGCTCCGCAGTGCCACGGGAGCGATTAGGCGCTTGATTTCATGCGCCATAATCTAAATCGAGGTAGATAGGGGTAGAGCTACGCAAACGGCGAAACAGAGTGACCCTTGGCACGAAAAAGTGCAGCGACAGGCACCTAGAGGGCGGATTCCGCGTCGCCACTGTTGCGTTTTAAGAGAGAAACAGTGCTAGGGAGCCTTCTCCCCAACTTTGCGAGAGATGCCCTCTGAATTCTACACCGCATGGCCCTTTGTTGGCGTCATTAGCCAGTCTCTCAGCCCTTCGCGCACGCCGGGTCACCCCCTACGTGTATGCTACGCTACCATTCACTATTTGCCCGGTGTTTTGCTCTAATCAATCGTTCCGTAGGGGAACAAGTTCGGTGTGAATACCGCTGCTGTCGATCACCACCACCTCCGCCTGGTCGCCTGAAGCCACCACCCACCGTAACAAAGTGCACACCGTTCTGGTTATACGCCATCCGAAGAGTTGCTCAAAAGGAATATTTAACACACGAAATACCGAAGCGTGGCAGACCTGTAAAGATGTCCCGTTCGCCTGCAGACGCAAGAATCCCTCGGACGAGTGCGATGGTCTCTTCTTTCGTGAGCTTGGGCTTCTGCTTTTGCTGGTTGTTTTGGGCAATCTGCACACGACAAGATTTGCATTCTTTTCAACATTCGGTTCTTTTGGGCACACAGAGAAAACGCGAGGTTGCGCATACAGACCTAGGTCTGCACTCTTCATACAGACATACACCTGTTTCCAATACGTGTCCACCCACAGACACACATTTCAAGGCGTGACCAGGGGAGAAAAAGGAGGAGGGAAAGGGGTGTGCAAATGGGTGCCCCTCCCCCCACTCCACCAAACCCTCGCTAGCGACCCTAAGAAAGTTATTCAACGGCGCCCTGCCTTCCAACCTGCGGTCTAAAGGACTGGCGGCTGCGATTTTTACCTGATTGTCCAAGATCGACATGGTAAGGGAACTGCCAGTGCCCGCACAGTTGTAGTTGGCGCGCTCAAAAGACCCAATCGCATCGTAGCCAAACACCGCGCCCTTCCCTAAAGCAGTACGCAAAGAACGCAGGGCAGCGAGAAGGGAAGACTCGCTGAGGCGGCCGTTACGGCGGAACAAGGCAACATTCAAGTGCCCCTTGGAGAGACGCACAGAGCGCCCTCCTCCGGGCAGCAATGGACAGCTTGACGGGACATGTAAGCATCCAAACAAACTCGCCGTGAGGGCGATGGATGTTTTTCTTCTCAAGCTGTGGTCTCTGTTGGGTTGGGGAAGCTTCAGCCGCATGCGTCATTCAGAGAGGGCCAGTAGGGCAGGGGTAACAGTGAGGCAAGGTCAGAGGTAAGGTTGATATTCTCCTGCAGCCCGCCTTCCTCTTATTGCTACCCCATCAACTTCTCTCTTTCCATGTCTGTCCAACAGCCACCGGCTGGTACCCCGTACTGATGTTTGCAAGTCTGCCCCCCCGTTTCCCTGCTCCCCTAATGCCTGCAGGCATATATCTGTGTCTCAAGTTCCTCCGTGGTGGCAAGTGCACAGAGGTGGTGGCTGCGCGCGCAAGCTACCTTCCGAGTCGAGGCCGAAGAGGACGTTGAAGGTGTAGTAGGGGAAAAATCGCCGAGAGTACAGCACCGTGGAGAGCAGCTGTGCAACTGCGATCACTGAAGGCTCCTCTCGGTGCTGGTGCTGGAACATCGCTACACGGGTCTACGACGGGAGGATGCACAAAAAAAACAGAGCCAGAATATTTATGAAAAAAACGAAAAAGGCATTCAGGTGCGACAAGAAGACAAAGGAAAAAGAAGGCCAACGTTGAAAGGGAGAACCCCCGAAAAAAGGCGGGCACTTAGGGCGAGAGACACACATGTTCACACACACACACACACACACACACACACACACACACACACGCACAGATCTACATACACATACACACAATATACGCACACACACACACACACACACACACACACACACACACACACACAGATCCACCTACACATACACACAATATACGCACACACATACATATACACGCAGATCTACGTACACATGCACAAAATATATACATACATATATCCACACACACGCACATATCTACAAACATATACACACAATATACACATACGCGCAGATATATAGATGTATGCATAAACACATGAAAAATAGAGATTCAGCATAGGAGCCGCACAAGACCGCTACCGCTGCTCACCTTAAGCCACTTGTGAAGTGTCTGTACATCTGCCTGCATACCGGAGGAGGCAATGCAGCAGCGTGAAGTCCTGCGAGAAAAACGCACTGCTCGCCGAGCTGGCAATCAATGTAGCTCGCTATACTAACTTCGTACAGTAGCGTCCAGACAGTCAGAATCAGTGTGCAGCACGATGCAGCTCCAGCGCCGAGCTCATGACAAGACAGTAGGCATTCGCAAGCACTTGATCCAAAAGGTCCTCCCTAGACTGCCTGGCAGCCTAGAGCCGCATAGACCGCCAGCTTCAGCCCCTCCCCTCCGCTAGTTCCCATGCCTCCTATACAGCGCACAGCTTTGTGATCTTGGACTGCATGCGCGAGTGGATGGAGTAGCCAACTGAGAGACGTGTATCTCCCACACCAACCACAAAGTCATCCCCCGCAACAGACACCACAGTCCTGCGAAAATCGGACGTACGCAAAAAGCACCCGAATCTCATGCGGTGCAACGTGTATGAGAAGAAGCGTCCAGACACTCCAGCTTCGTCCTGCAAGGCTCCCTGTCTATCGCACGGGTCGAGAATCGAAGGAGATGTCTACCCCGAAGTCATTGGCGAAACGCCCTCAATCCTTACGGACCCGCCATTGTTTACATAGGGGTTGAATCCGCCCCTGCCGTGACGGCTTGAAATCTCCGCAGGAGCGACCCCATCTTCTCGAGGCGCCGGAAAGTCCATGCAGTTCATCATTTCTGCTTCTGCTGCGCACGAAAACAAGCACACGCACTCCGCGAGACAGTAGCGATTTGTGCTCGCTACAGGAGTACGCCACATTCGCACTCCTCCCAAGGAGCAAGCAGCTGCCTGCAGCGGATCTCGTTTCTGCTACCCCCTGCAGAAGGGATGGCTGCAATGCAGGTGCATAAAGAAGCGGTGCGACGTAGAAGGAGAAATGAAAGAACATTTGGGAGGCGACTGGAGCTTGCTGTCCCGCAGAGGGGAGAAATGCGGAAGGGGCCCTTTGTGTGGAAACTGCAATTCGGAAGACGATTACGATCTTGGCAAGAGGCAGTGGAGGCGCTGAGGGTGCGTCGGGGAGGTCTCCAGTGCTTACCAAGGCGTGAGAACGGATGACCTCTAGAAATAATCAGCAACACAAGAAGAGAAACGGCTAGGACGGGCAAGAGGCGAGGGAAAGTACAAGGGGCCCTGCCCAGCCTTGCGGGTGCAGCAAATGGACGGCTAAGAAAATCCGGGAGGGACTCGCCAGAAAAGGAATAAGGCTCACAATCTCGAATGGTGAATACCAGTAAAGTTTGGAGTGCGGACAGCAAGACACCTGATAAACAAGCAGCATGCTCAACAGCCCAAAACGCGTAGCTCTAGGAAGCCACCACTGCTCTGTCGGCAGTGGCATGCATTGGTGGAGTTGGAGGGCGTGTTACCCGCCCACACCAATTTTTACGCGTATGTATTCCAGAAGTGTGCAAAAACAGTTCTTCTTGTGCGCTAGATACTGCTCGAGCTCTCAATAAACCAGATAGACGCGCTCCATTAGTAATGTAGTCCTTGGCAGGCGGGTGTATCGCTGACCCTCCTAAGCGTCAACCATGGCTGCGTAAGAATCTGTCGTCACGCTGAGGAGATTACGTTTTATAATGGAAGCTTACTGGTAATGAGAATTTCTTGTGGTTTCATAAAGGACGGATGAAAAAGTCCCCGAGTTAGGGGCTTGTTGGCCACCGAATAACTAGTATTCGCTGCTTTCTGTAGCACACGCTCATTGTGGTAGTATTCAGCGTGTAGACCTTCAAGCAATGAACCTGATAAGCGGAGAAGATCCCCTGGTCTCGGCAAGCATCGGGTACACTGTACTGCGCATATTCTGGGAACAAACCCTGCAGAATGTGCCATTCACGGAGGCAAGAGGCCGCACACGAATTTTAAACTCTGATTGCGCTTCATGCCTCTGTTCTAAGTCGATCCGTGGAGTACACATAGCTCTACCGGCCATTTTAAAGTTGCACAAAGTATCACGTCCGTTAAGGTTGATTTGAAGAGGCCCTTATTCCCAAACGCGGTCAAAAAGCCAAGAGAAAGATCCCCAGTATGCGTCTTCCACACCTGCATCTCTTACCCTTTCACTTCCTAAAGCTCTTGCATGGGGCAAAGAATGGTGCTGGAGTACAAACTGCTGCACTGCCCATGCAACCAGACCCACGTTCACATGTTAAGTTCGCGCACACGCAAGCACCGCTTGTGCGTACAGTACCAAGCTAACTAATCTCTCTGTGCAGAAAGTAAGAGATCAGCAGGCAAACCTGCCACGTGGCAATTACGCTCTGGCACGATGTGCCTATGCGTGGTGTGGCACGCTGCGGGAAGGCCCCTCCCACTGCAGCGAATCGCGCCTATTTGGATGCAGACCACGTATTTCCGAGGGTGTTTGCAAATGAGTGCCATGCGAATTCAGTTCTACCTGATCGCGATGGCTGCCTGGGGTGCCGCCGCCTGGATGAAAAACATGTGGGCGGGCGCCTTATCGTGCGGCAAAATCGCATACGATGGCAGAGCGCCTCCAGTGCAATCCCATTAACTTCCATCTCGTGAGGCATCTTAGCCGTTCAGCTATCCAGCCTCTGACCTTATGGTGCCACTGGATGATACGTTGGCTGTTCGCTTGGAAGCACCACTACACTGACCGGCGGAGCCTACAAATGAAGACCCCTCCCATGCTTCGCATGGATGCCGGGCCCTAATAGAATGCCTTCTATAAGGGGAGGACTTGAAGCTGGAGTAGAGCAACCGCGAAAAAGCCCCCAGATTGTACACGCTCGAAAAATACACAATCCCTAGCGCTGCCCACTGCTGCGGTAGGAGCAAGACAGTCACGGAGTCGGGGAAGCCATGATGACAAACGCTTGGAAATACATTTAGAAATCAGCATCGAGAGAAAACTGTTGCTCTTCCTTGTTTTGTACCATCACGCCGGCCTTTTGGTAGTCACCGACGCGCTTCTCGAAGAAGTTGGTTTTACCTTGGAGAGAGATCAGGTCCATAAAGTCAAAGGGATTCCTAGCGTTGAAAATCTTGTCAGAGCCAAGACATGTGAGGAGCCGATCCGCAACGAATTCGATGTATTGTGCCATGAGGGCTGCGTGCAAATAAGAAATGTACGACACGCAAAAGGTTATGGGGGCGCTGCCGTCACTCGGATACAAACTAACCATCGAAAGCCGATGTTCGCCCAAATTTGTAATATGAACTTGGCGAGTTCTTACAAGGCGCATTTCTGTCTAGATCTGCACAATACTACTCATCCAAGGGCTCAATAAAGATACATGTAGAGCCAAAATTAAAGCGTAGGAAGAATTCGCCTGCTGTAATGTCGCAAGGTCCTTTGTTTTCATCGTACTCAGGCTTTTGGGGTTTGTGCGCCCAGTGCGGCACTGCTCACCACTGTTCATTCCGATCAGGTCGCAGGGCAGTGCATCACAGATGAATGCCTTTTCAGCCTCCACAGCCTCCGAGACGATCCGCCTCAGCACATCGTCGGAAAGCTGGTTTTCCAGCATCGAGTACAGCAAGCAGGCGAAGTCAGCGTGCAGACCCTCATCGCGGCTTATAAGCTCGTTTGAGAAAGTCAAACCTACAAAAGTGCAGAACACAATGCGCGTGCCCACAGCCAGAGAGTAAGGAAGCAAGAGGCCTCTGTACAGAGCAAAGCATAAAGTTCAGCTTCCAAGCGAACGGGAAAGCATCACATAATGCTGAAGTCAGTTGAACTCTTTTAGTACGACTTCCAGGCATTCATGATAATCAAAAGCCACGCCGTGTCCGGCCCATACACTGCCACTTGACTCTAAATTGTGTTCGGAATATTTCTGTTACCGGGCATCAGTCCTCGTTTCTTGAGCCAATATATGGCACAGAAGGATCCTGAAAAGAGAATTCCCTCTACGCAGCAGAAAGCAACAAGCCTTTCCGCAAAGGATTTGGTCTTATTGATCCATTTAGCGGCCCACGCCGCCTTTACAGCCACCGCGGGAATGCTACTAATTGCGTTGAATAAGTGTTCCTTCTCCTTTTCGTCGCGGATGTAATTGTCAATCAGAAGACTGTACAGGCACATCGGAAAAGACAAAAATGCAACAAATTTCCCACTAGAGCCCTCCATCTGCCTCATCTACAGCCGTTCAATCTAAATACCGTTCTACATTATCCCATGGTAACGGAAACGTCTAAGAGGGCACTGAACACCCTATGTTCATGCAGTGAGTGGATGTAGCAGTGTTTCACGAGGGAGAACTGCCCATATTTACGCATTTATACACTTGCGCAGCTAAGAGCGCTTTCGCGAAAATACTTAGATATGCGGAGGGCTTCACCTGTATGTCTCGGAGTGGATGTTCTCCACGGCAAGTTGGAATGCATAGAAACTGCGCGCCTCCGGTATTTGTACTTCCGTCATGAACCTCTCGGCCAAGTTTTCCATGACGATTCCGTCACTGCAGCAAAGATGTTCACAAAATACATTCAAACTCGTCGCATACTTTTAACAATGGTGCAAGTGAAAGCATACACGCCGTACAAATGAATATAAAGAAATATATAAGCTGAAATGCTCTAATGCAATAGAGTGCCCGACTGCACGACTCTCTTCCCTGTCCCGAGGCGAATGCAAGCAATGAGATGCAATTATGCTCGTTCATGAATAGTTTCGCACGAAGAAACGTTTTCGACGTGTGGAGATTGGACAGATCCACACCCGATTGAGCCTATGAGAACATAGTGTGATGACTGTTGCATATTATTCCCTGCTGAACGAGACAGGCCCAACAAACTTCAAAGAACTGGTTCTTTGATCTGTTTCGACTGTGATGCGTTTCGTCTTACCTTGCAGCGAAAAAGGCAAGCACATGCTTAATGAAGTGCTGCTCATCCTTGTTCAGACTTTCCCAGTCTACCAAGTCCCTGTGTAGGTCGATCTCCTCGGCTGTCCAAAAAGAGGCCTCCGCCTTCTTATACATATCCCACACTTCCTTGTACTGAATGGGCATCAACACCTATTCAATGAAAGCAGCAGGCAACGCTGAAGTGCAGTATCGACCCTGCCAAAGCATGCGCCTGAGGATGATGTGCTGCGAAGCACCCTCGGTTTTGTCCTATTATGTATGAAACAGGTGGCAAGGCTTGGTCCTAGTATGATGCTAGTGGCTCCTGGGCTTAAATATATTGTGCGCGCACGCAGGGGGCTAAAGTATTGAGAAAGCCTTCGGGTGTGGCCGATGCTTGGGGAGGAGCAAGCTGCAATATTAGATTGTATGAGAGGGAGGGAGAAGGCCTTACCCATCTCCGGGGATTGGGCTTAAGCAGCAATTCATCCTTTTGCCTCGCAATGAGGTACTGGGAATAGGCCTTCTCTTCTTCCGTGGCAAGCTCTTCGGCAATCTCTGTCAACCGCTTCGGATCGGTGGCTGCAGCCAGCACTCCCTCGGCGTTCACCCATGAAGACAGACCCATTTTAACTAGTGTGTTAAGGCAAATCCCTAAGAAGGCGCTGCAGCTGCTGCTGTTCTTGTTACTGCTGCGCTTGGAGTGTACGAACGCTGTAAGAATGGAAACTCCACGAAGGGCCGTGTACTGCCCTAGACTGTCACGAGTAAGAGGGAAAACAGGTCCTTTTTACAAATCGGAGGCTGTCGCTACTTAGAGTGCTGCAGCGAATGTTCACTTTAGGCAATAGACACACGAGTGCCCAGGGTAGCTCAGGCTTACGCTGCTGTGGGGTTTCACTGTGCCCACAGTAAGGAAATGCGAGACAAAGAAAGCATACATCCATCAAGAAACGCATGGAACACCGAAGCAAAATGACGTCAGGAGGCGAACAGCTGCTCTCGCCAGTCTGCTGGGTGGTGGTGAGGGTGGGGAAGGGGTTAAGGTCGTGCTGGGTGCTGCGGATTCCCAGCACTTTGTTGCTAGTGTTTTGCTTTGCTCTGTGCAAGCGTTTTAAAGCATAGCACAGTATTATGAACACTTGATATTGTACTTAACTCCGTACACCCCGTTGATTTCCCAGAGAACCTCCCTAATGGTTTCTCTGTGGACACATAATGGCACTTCTGCCATTGCCTCGTCGGCCTCATAGAGCGGAGTCTGCGGAAGGTAGGGTCAACTCATCCGATACCGAATCCTTTAACGATTATTTGTCGGTATTCCAACCTTCAGCAACTAACTTCGAGCCTGAAACCCTGAACTATGCCCGGCGCCATTATATGAATTTGCTTAACAGACACATGGGATGTGGAAATGATACCCCTAGGGGAGTTAGAACCCTTGAATATGCCTGAGGGTCAAAAGTATGGCCTGGGAGGTATTATAAGCTTTCTCTACATAAGGGTAGAGCTTTCTACTCTAGCGTATCGATTGTATACATGCCCATATGCAGGGGGACACCTGCATGCAACATAGCCTTCTTTCAAAAAGGCTCACCCAACTGCCTTCCTGCTGTGTCTCCTTCCCCTTAGCTCTGGAGCTTCTTTGGTCACACAGAAAGGCAAGAAGCCTGCTCTTCTAGACGACAAAAGCAAAAATTTGCCTATCGAGGGAATGTGAATAAAGGGTTGTGCATCTCCAGAGCTGCGAAGGGACGTGCTTCGCAATAGGCCGAGTGTATATGCTTCCTCCAACTGCCCTTGATTATGGTATAAGTCTGCGATCACTGCTGGTCCATAGCGTTGAAAGGAGAAACGTGAAGGAATGGAGCGTGTTAGGCTACACCTAAACGCTTCTACCACGCTGGCTAAATTGTTTTAACCATTCGAATGAAACCAATAAGTTGGATATTACGTTCATGTCTTTTGTTGCATATTGCAGTGCATTGTTAGCGTGATACAAGAGGAGGCAATCTTGTGGGCATGGTGGCTGAATGCCATGTGCAACTAGCTGTGAATGCTTGGAAAGCTTAGAGGCTGCAGCTAGGCGCATCCCAGCTGTCCCTTTTCCCTCCTGTGGGATCTCTGAGAGTCGCATTTAAGGAAAAAGGAAAGTATTTTTGAGGAACGCAATAAGTTTCTACCAAGTCTTGATTGAGTCTGAAGTTACGTGTTTGTGTGCAGCCACGTTAAATGGAACGTACATGAATCGCGTGGTCCTATGTGGCTGTTCACCGCTTATCTACTAGCTGGGTATGCGGTGGAATGTCAGGTTTCCCTTTTAAACTTGTTTTGCACTGAAGTTGTGTGGCAACTCAATCATATGATTTTCTCCAGCAACAAGCTGGGGGCCAAAAGCTGCCCACTGGCGGTGGAAGCTGACAGTCGCACAACGCCTGATGGGCTGGCATAGGGAAGCCTACAAGCTAAAGTGAATGCACTAGTTCTACAGCTGATTGGAAGGCATGTTTTTTCAGCCAAAAAATTATTGATACGGTGAGGTTAGTGTGTGGAAAAAAATGCATGACGGCCGTAAGGATGGCCAAGTATTCTAAAAAGATCCTCAGCCAATGGCAGCGATACCACGCGCTGTAGCCCTCAGATTAGAATCGAGTGTTACTTGTTGAATATTCAGTGAATGGGAGAACACTTGGATGGTTGCTTTTTTCGTGAAGAGGCAGTCGTCTGCCGCAGCAATTACTACTCTACTGGCCTTCATACAATCCCTTAATATTCTGTCTATGCCGAGATCAGTTTAAAAGCGACTTTAGCAGAACTGACAAAGCTGAGCAGATAAAGCTATTAATCAATCGTTCGAATGACATCCACCGAACGTTGGTTCTGAAAAGCCACAACGTAGACGAACAGCTGCCTTAGCAGTGGTATATCTAAGGATTGCCCAACCCTGTAGCACTCCATCGAAGGGTAACATTGGGGGATACTGAACTCCAGACTCAACGCAAACTAAATAAACCGCCATTAAATTTTTCTTTGTGAAATCTTGCCCTTCTAACTGAATGAGAGCCCTTACATCTGCTAACACTCTTCGCAGCCGGTTTTGTGCTTTCCGCATGTGCAGCATGGCTGAAGAAGCAGCCAACTATGGTGGAACGGTACAAGGAAAATAGATAAAAAGAGACCTGCACACAAGCTGCTCCCCTGCCTACTGTGTCCTCTCTTCCTCCCCCAAGCACTTCAGGAGCCGCTGCTCAAGCTCTTGCTTGCGAAGGCAGAGCCCAACAAAGAGAAACTTGGCTTCGACTGCACCGCTGCCGTCAGCAGCAAGGGCTGAAGTAGCGATAGCAGCACACGTCTTCCGCACTCGCCGAATCTCGAATGTTCGGCCTACACCCTGTAGTTCATAAATCCACCAGCGGCCTGCAAAGACAGAACTCTGGCACAGAGAAGCGCTGCAGCCTTCGCAACTGTTGATCGTGATCTTTCCCTCCCTTGCTCCCCCTTTAGGGTTCCTCCACACGTATACGCAATAGAAGCAACAAGAACGCAGAAAGAGCCCCCCAGAATACGCACGAAAATGATAGTTGCTGGCTTCCCCCTGTACGGTTCCTGCTGTGGCTGGTGCTTGCTTGTTTTTTGACACTTACCTATGCCGTCTTCTGCTTCATCTGGAAAGTCTCGCCAAGCCGGGAAAAGGCCCTTACACCGAAAAATTGTTTCGCCGCTCCCTTCACACGGTGCGCCAGACGCCTCACCTCCGTCAATCCCATCCTCACCCCACAGCAACTCCCCTACTGTTTGCCGCAGTCGGCGCAAAGAAAAAAGCCGCGGAGGCCCCTCTGGAGCGCTCTTTGTAGAGCTCCCTCCGAGCGAGAAGCGCAGAAGCACACTGTTCAGGCCACCCAGCATGTCATGGCAGCAATTTCCGACAGTTTCGCATTCGTGTTGCTGGTGCTGGTGCTGCTGCTGCTGCTGCTTCCAGAGGTCATGAGCAGCAGCGGTTGCAGCTGCCGCTTCTGGAGTAAAGGGCGTCGTCGTCAGAAGCTTGCTGCTACTATTGCCGCTACTGTAGGCCTCCAGTCCGAGTAATGCGTGGAGCGGCACAGCCCCCTGGCTGCAACGGAAGACACGAGCTCCCGGGTTTAAGGTCGAGATTTGTTGGTGCAGTTGCAGCACTTGCTGATCCTCACACAGGTCTACTTTTGTCAGAAGCACACAGTCCGCACATGCCACCTGCTTCAACGCAGTAATGCCAAGGCCTCCATGGGCCTCTAAGGAGACGGGGAGGGCCCCTTTAGGAGGTGACCCTGCTCCTACCTCTGCCGCCTGCCGCTTGCCTGCTCCTTCTTCAGCACCCGAAGCAGGAGCCCTACCAGATAATGGACGCGGAGCGAGCACGGTATGAGGTCTGGCTGCATCTATAAGACAAACCACTCCATCGAGATACAGAGATCCCATGAGCTGCTCATCAGACCAAAGGCCCTCGCAAATGGGCTGCGGATCTGCTGCACCGTTCGTTTCTATGAGGACGGCATCAATTTGCGCTTTATAGCGAGCCAAAAGAGCCTCAAGGGCTTGAAGCATCTCGCCCCGTACTGAGCAGCACAAGCAGCCGCCAGGAAGCTCAACGAGATTGCTGTATGGCACTTCCGTGCTGGTTCCATCAGAAGCCGAAGCGGCCTCGACATCCGAGCTTACTAACCAGGGGGAGCGCTCTTGAGCCGAGACTGCCTGCTCTTGCTGCTGCCGTTGGCACTGCTGTGCGGCGTCTATTAGGGCAGGGGCCTCAATGCCCATCTCTTGAGCGAACTCGTTTTGAACGAGAAGCAGGCGCAAGCCTCCACTGTCTCGCAGCAGTCGCCGCAGCAAAGTCGTTTTGCCCGCACCCAGCAGGCCCGTAACAATCGTCACAGGCACAGGCGAAGCCCCAGGCACTTTCCGCGTCTCAGAAGCCTCGAGGGCCCCTGGAGCCTCTAAGGACTCGGGGGCCCCTGGGGTTTTTTCCATATAGGCTTCCGGGGAAGAGAAATAGAAGGCCACACGTGGTGAGAACGGCAGAAAGCACAGACATTGATTGAAAATAGTGCATTTGCCAACTAACTGGAGGGTGGAGCTGCCTCGACCACCAAAGGATGCCTCCACGGTGTAGAGCACCCTCGGTCCAACCAGCAAGCCGCAGCACCCGCCGTTCGCACACTTCACTTGCTGGCTCTGTGTCGTTCTTCGCTTTGAAATATCCAAACATCCAGATAAACCGTCTATTTTCTTGATGTATCGAGGACTAGAAGCGCGGCAACCTCTGTCACTTATGAGTTCCTTCGGGGGAAATCAATGGCGAGGGGCCCTCCAGAAGGCCCCCTCACCAGTGAAACCCTCTTTGCCGTCACAGCCCACCGGAAATGCTCTTTTCTGCTCCCTTGTGGAGAGGGTGCAGGGGACTGCCAATGGGGTCTTCCAGATACTCAAAATGTGCAGGCCTCTACAACATAGTGAACTTGTTGCACACCTATGCCGCAAAAGCCTCCGTAGCTGCTATTCTAGTTGCATTCAAGAACGCAAAGGTGGATAACGAATTTCATATCTAGCCAACTAGGTATCTGGGTAGCTGTGTGCATCTTAAAAGCAACGGATAGACAACCTACCGTACATTTGCAGAGCGCCAAGCTGCGCTAACACAGTTTCTACAATAGATATGCTTGCACTAGAATTGGTGATGACCTGATTGGTTGGTATGTTGATAGAGCCTGAAAATTGCAGAGCCCTTTCGCTTCGGCACAGGGAAGAGGCAAAGTATCGTGCTTTCGCATTTGATGCTTTGTGCAACTGGCTGTGCGTCCTTGGAGTGCTACGATAGCCAAGCAGCATGCACCGTAGTAGCTGATCTTCACTGATGTCGTTGAAACACTTGAGAGCGAGGGTCGAGGAAGGAGGGAGCACGCTAGCAAAGAGCATTCAATAAGTATTGATTTTCCAGTGAGCCTGGTGTGAAATTTCCCCCAAGGGCGACCTGAAATGGAGTTACACTAACCAGCCTTCTAAGGCGATGTTTTCGCAGCCTCTCTGCTGAAGAGCAAGAAAGAAAGCTGGCTAAGCACCTGTGAAATACAGCTTGTTACAGAGGGCTAGCTAGGTCGATAAGGAGGCGGCATCTGAACGGGATAGCAACTGAGCTGGCAGTCTCTATGGGATTCTGGAAGGAGGGGAGCTTAGGTGGAAACTCAAAGAATTTTAACTTTCTTTGTGCATATTACCGGGCCAGGTTGGACTTTATTCTACTATGAGCGACCTGATTCTGTGTGGAACACTCCATCTAAAGGCTTCATTGGGAGATACTGAACATCAGGCTCCGCTTAGGAGCGACGGGAACGCTGACCGATTCTTAGAGAGATCCTCGCCATCCCCTGCTTGCGAGCCTCAGAGATTCCAGCAGTAAAGGCGAGAGAGAGCTAGGGCGTGGTATAATGCCCTCGCTTAATGCATCAAGCTAACAAAGCTAGTTACACAAAGCATCTAACACAAGCTCTCACAAACTTACATTTTGTTGCAGTGAGTAACAGTACCCTACCACAAACAATATGGACGGACAGACTATCCAATTTGTTAATACTAGTTCTCAGTTGATATGACTCGTGTGGTAAAAATTATTGGAGTGTAACTTGGCTCGCCATAGCTTCCCCCTTCCCCCCTATCAAAGGGCACCACCTCCTGCTCCGTACGTGCATGCAGCGATCAACTGCATAAAGAACAGCGGAAGACCTCACGCACCATCTTTACTTTCCAGACATACAAGACGAGAAAATAGTGTATATCAGAAATGCAAATCTGTGCATCAACTGATAACGCGAAATCGACGGGAAGAAGGCACATGCAAGCCCTGAACTTGCCTAAGGAAGAACACAGCGTCAACATGCTTGTGAGTGAATGCACACAATTCCATTTGTATAACACACATTAACAGCAGTAACTAACATCTTTTCAAGCAATACCCATTGATGGAGGTAGACGCCTCCGGCAGAGCATGCGCTGGGAATAATTTTCAGTGGACCGGATCAGTGCCGTCCTTGGCAAGTAGCGTGGTTGACCAAGCAGATCCGCAAAAATCCTCGGCAGCCAACCATGCCCGCAGCTGCTCCTCCGCCAAGCACTTGGACTGCCCTTCCCTATCTTGCTCATCAAACCTTTAATGCCGCACTTCTTCAGCTCCCTCTGTATCCTCCAACTCCACACGAGTTCCTTGCCTGCGCAGCAATGTCCGCACACGCGTCAAGGAGATTTAATCCTTTCCCAAGCC